CACTGCACCCAGATATATGTTCAATTTTCCAACATTGCAGAGGTACTCCCAAGGGAGTACCTGGCATTATTTACCTAGCAGGTTGATGTGAAGATCAGAGATTCTTGAATGTTAAAATTCTAAACATTGCCTGGACCATTGTAAACCCTCATTGTTTCTTATATCTTTGGTACTTAAATGTTGCTGGTATTTGAAAACTTGTATGGGATGGCTAGTGGGAATTTATTGAAGCACAATCTGCTTGCCTCAGCAAAATGTAATTGTCACTCACTGTGGTAGGTATAAATGGATACATTTATTTCAAGATGTGTTTTGAGTATCTTTTCTACCAAGACAGGTTTTTCAGATACTATTTGTGGTTTTAATTTCTTTAGTAATAATTTTTGGGAAACTGTCCACTTTGTGTAATTTACAGGTTTATTGCTTAACATAGATAATTCCAGTGGTTTTAAGGTTTTAACTAGCTCCATAATTATATTGGGAGCAATGTACACATAGCATTTTCATAACTCAATTTTTAGTATTTAAATAAAGTAAAAGGTATATTACTACTGTGAAATTACCCAAGTTAGGATTAGTGAAAAGACATTGTTTTCTACCCCTGGCCTTAATGAAAAGCATTATATGTGCTGCCTAAGGAACAAGAGCTTTTAGGAAGCATGTGGTGCCTATGAATGACCTTTTCCTTGTTAGCCTCAACTTTCAGTTTGCTTGCTTCACTCACACACTCACACACACACACACACACACACACACACACACACACACACGGACTACGTTTCTTAGGGAAATTGTAATAGAATTTTTTTTGGCGGTGGAGGGGTGGTGGGACTGGAGTTTGAACTCAAGTTTGCAAGTTTGAACACTTGCAAAACAGGCATTTTACTTTTTTTTTTTTTAAAAGCATGTACATTTATTGAACTGCTGCATCCACACTTCATCCCATTCCAGGCAGACAGGGAGTCTAAAAGCTTTAGCTTCATACATCTCAAGTTGAGGAAAACAAAGGGAGGGTCCATGAGGACTGACCATTCAAAATAAAGCAAAACCGAAAGTATCAAGGTGAAGATTAAAAACTTCCGAATCGCATAATTTACATAAAAGCAATGCTGTCATCTCTTGAGTGAACTCTGGTGAGGTCTGGGCCATCCTACCTACAGAAGTGGGTAGATTTTAGAAGGGAGGGGGATTCCTGTAGTAATACTTGGAATGATTAAAGTCCTCAGCCACATTGTACGACTCTGGGGATACTCATTCCAATCAACTGCTGTTACCTTTGCCATTCCACATTTCAAATTCTGAGTCAAAAGCAGCAAAAAACAGAAACAAAAAAACCCACAAAGCCATCATGCACAGAATTATTTAAAATACTCTATAAAAGTTATCTCTAGGTTATGTGCATAAGATGTATACAAAACACAAATGAGTTGTTTTTAGACTTAGGTCCTATACTATATGCAAATATTCCAATATTGGAAAATAATCCACTCTGGAAAACCTCTGGTCCCACATATTTTTTTTTTTAGTACTGATTATTTTTAATTTTAATGAATTTCATTTCCAAGTGTGAAATATTTTAGGGGTTATGTGAAGACTATAAAATGATCATGCTTAACATTTTTTTCTTTGGCAAGAAAAAAGGCTCAAATAAATATTTAGGAGGCTCAAGACTAAAAAAAAAAAAAAGAAAGAAAGAAATACACAGTAAGTTTTAGGTTTACTTGACAGAGAAATCAAGATTTTATGCAGTCGTTACTATGCTACCCACCTGCATGTTGTTTAAGAAGAGAAAATATGTCAATATACAAGAATAATGAAAAATTTTTTTTATCTTTTGTTGTTTTTAAAACAATTACTAAAATGTAATCCAGGACTTTTTCCCTAGCCTGGCTTCTCCCTTGCATCATGAAGTCTAAGATCATGGCACAGATACTAACTTTTAAAATATCTTGATCCATAGTTAATGTGCTTTTTAGATTGGGTATGTACACTATATACTCCTTAGACACCCCCTCCCCGAGGCATGTAGCCTAAATCCAAAAGAAGAAAGCTGGATCACTGCTACTTTTTCACCTATACCATTTCTTGGCATTTCAAAAACAGTAAGAGCTGATCTGCTTTCTCCACTCAGTTCCCATACATAGAACACATGTAATTCCTGTGTTATTTTGGATAACAGATACTCAGGCCACTCTTTTTAGTAAAGAAGGAAAATGGTAACTGGGATGTACAACTCTTCACTCAAAGTTGTGCCACTGTATATAGCTATTTCATCTTCCTCTCTAATCCTACCTTTAGGAAAGTGTAAGGAAACAAAGATACAAAGGAAACCAAAATGGATACAATTATTTTTAAAACCAGCTCTAGTGAGTTTTATTAAAGAAAAAAATTTGCCTTGTTACTTCTCCAGTCTGTTCTGGCATGCTTCTAATGTTATCAGAACACCTGGATCAATGATAGCCAGTGTGTATACTCTGTAGTATTTTCCACACGCTGTGCCCAATTCATTCTTATTTCCACTTTAATGATGAACACCAGTTTTGGCCATTGTACCATGGTATTCTATTTCAGATTTTCTCAAGGCTGGGGAGTTGTTGGTGAGGATGACCAATTTTGCTTTGCATTGTCTGATCATCTTTAGAGTCTGCTTGTACCCCTGCATGTACTTCCCGCTTTTCATAACAAGTTGGCGTCTAGAGTTGATCAACTCAAGGGATTTTTTTCGTCTTTACAGCCACCATCTTCCTGCCTTAGATGCAGGATGGCCCCCAACTAATAGCAGCTGGCATTCTGCTTCTTGAGTGACACCTCTAGTCTATTTTGTCTGGTTATTTTGGAGATGGGGGTCTCTTGATCCGTACAGCAATCCTCCCAATCTCAGACCTGTCAACTAGCTAGAATTACAGAGGGATGAGCTCCTGGTGCCAGGCCTATAATAGGTATTTGCTTCCACCAGTAATTCAAAGAAAAATGTTACGTAGTCTGCTTTTTGTATCTTTCGGTTCTGTACAACTATGGACGTAGCCAACCTTGTTTGTGAAATATAAATCACATCTGTACTAAGCATTTTCATACAGATCTTATTTTCTTGTTAATTTCCAAAACAATATAGTGACAGTTTTTTTTTTGAGGTACTTAAGTTTGAACTCAGGGTCTCATGCTTGCAAGGCAGGTACTCTGCCACTTGAGCCACTCCACCAGTCCTTTTTTGTGTTAGATATTTTCAAGATAGGGTCTCTAGGACTATTTGTCTGAGCTAGCTTTGAACCTCTCTGTTCTCCTGATCTCTCCTGAGTAGCTAGAATTAGAGGTGTAAGCCAATGGCACCTGGCCAGTAACAGTTACTTATATAACATTTACATTGTGTTAAGTATTGTAAGTAATCCGAAGATGATTTAAATTGTAGGGAAGGATATATGTAGGTTATATGGCAAAATATGGCAGTGTTTTATATTAGGGACTTGATCATCCATAGATTTTGATTATCTGTGTTTTGTATAATGCCATTCATTTTTCTTACGTGAAGTTAATTATATACATCAAATTCATTGCATATTAATGTTTTGAACTGAAACATATTAATCAGTTTCTACTGTGAAACCACTATAGTCATGTTTCTCAATTAATGAAATAATTGTAAATGTTTTTGAAATTTACGTGGTACTACTTATTGGGAAAATATTCTATATAAATATCTGTCTAATCTACATAATCCAGAGTGATGTGGTGTTTGTTTATTTATTTATTTTTGTTGGGACTGGGGTTTGAACTCAGGACTTTTTTTTTTTTCATTTTTCTTTTATTATTCATATGTGCATACAAGGCTTGGTTCATTTCTCCCCCCTGCCCCCACCCCCTCCCTTACCACCCACTCCGCCCCCTCCCTCTCCCCCCCCAATACCCAGCAGAGACTATTTTGCCCTTATTTCTAATTTTGTTGTAGAGAGAGTATAAGCAATAACAGGAAGGAACAAGGGTTTTTGCCGGTTGAGATAAGGATAGCTACACAGGGCATTGATTTACATTGATTTCCTGTGCGTGGGTGTTACCTTCTAGGTTAATTCTTTTTGATCTAACCTTTTCTCTAGTACCTGTTCCCCTTTTCCTATTGGCCTCAGTTGCTTTAAGATATCTCCTTTAGTTTCTCTGCGTTAAGGGCAGCAAATGCTAGCTAGTTTTTTAGGTGTCTTACCTATCCTCACCCCTTCTTTGTGTGCTCTCGCTTTTATCATGTGCTCATAGTCCAATCCCCTTGTTGTGTTTGCCCTTGATCTAATGTCCACATATGAGGCAGAACATACGATTTTTGGTCTTTTGGTGAACTCAGGACTTCTTGCTTGCAAAGCAGACATTTGTAAAGCTGGCACTCTATTGCTTGAGCTGAACCTCCAGTCCATTTTGTTCTGGTTATTTTGAAGCCGGGGTCTCTTGAACTGTTTGCCTAGGCTAGCCTCAAAATGCATCCTGATCCTCGAAGTTTCAGCTTCCCAATTACCAGGGATTACAGACGTGAGCCATCAACATCTGGCCAGAGTAATATAAACTGTGCTATATATATTAAAGTCTAAATCAGGTAAACTAGAGCAAATATATGATTCAGTTCTTCTGTATATTCTAGAATTCACTTGCCTGGCTTCCTGAGCATTTCTTCATAGTCAGTTGGATATGATTAGATATTTGCTCCAGTTTGCCTGATTTATACCCTATATTTTTAAGTATATCTTTCCTTGTACTGATGTCAGATACTGCAGGTTACTAGTGTCAGTTTAATGTTTTCCTTAAGATTGGATGGGATGTTTTTATAAGCTTAACAATAGTTCCTCCACCCCCACACACCAACTTTTACATATGGTAAACCATAGCAAGTCAATTTGAGTCTTTTATCACTTAAGCCACGAGTTTTTTCTGTATCAGTAGTTTTGGGTGTGGGGGATGGTTTCATGAAACAGTTAGGTTTCTCAAGGTTTTTTTACTTAATTCTGAACTTATTTCTCCTTCAGCTGTGCGGTCAGAGAAGAAACGCCTTAGGAAGCCAAGCAAGTGGCTTCTGGAGTATACAGAAGAATATGATCAGATATTTGCTCCTAAGAAAAAGCAAAAGAAGGTACAGGAACAGGTACACAAGGTATGTTCCAACATTTCAACAAATTTTCATTGGTCCTCTGAGGAAAGCACAATTTTAATATTTATCTTTATGAGACAATAATTTTCTTCAGTGGGATCTGACCTTTTCAGCTTTTTATTAGTAGCTACCTAGCATATTGTGTGTCTGAGTGCATATATATTCCACTCTCCTCTTTTTTTTTTGGAGGGGTGAGGAGGGTACTGGAGTTGGAACTAAGGGTTTAGTGCTTGCTAGGCACCCACTCTCTTGAGCCCCCTCCCCAGCCATTTTTACCTTAGATATTTTTCAAATAGGCTTCTAGACTTTAATCCTCTTACGACTCCTGGGATGACTACCGTATGCTACAGTGCCCAGCTTTTTGTTGACATGAGGTCTCAATAACTTTTGCCCCTGCCACCATTGAACTTTGATCCTCCTGATCTTCACTTCCCATGTAAGTGGGATTACAAGTTTGAGCCATTGCACTCCCCCCCCCCCCGCCACACACCTTTGCTTTTGAATATTACTTAACTCAAGTAGTAGAATGCTGGCCCTAAGTTAAATTCCCAATACCCTCTACCTCCCAAAGTGTATTTAGTAACTAAGGAATATCATTATGATGCAACGTTGAGTAAGAAACTTAGAATATGGACTGGTAGAGTGCCTACCTAGCAACCATGAGGCCCTGAGTTCAGACCTCAGGACCGCAAAAAAAACAAAAAAAAAAACTTAGAATATAAGATATGTGTAATTTTATCCTTTTTTTTTTTTTTTTGTGGTCCTGGTGTTTGAACTCAGAGCCTCATGGTTGCTAACTGCTGCTCTACCACTTGAACCACACTCCCATCCCTATCTTATTTTGAAAGCATTGCATCATCTTACTTACCCTGTCCTTAAATTCAGTTTCTATTAGTTGAATACTTTTAATTAGAAACATTTTCATTTGTTTGTTTACATTTCCTTTGATCAAATCCACGCCTTACACCTACATACCTATTCCTAGAGGCATTTTAATAATATATCCCTAAGTCACTGAATATGTGGTAGTGGCCCTGTAGTTTGACCTCAGAGCCTCATGCTTGCTAGGCAGGTACTCTACCATGTTAGTCACACCTCCAGCCCACAGTTTGCATGTCTTATAAGACAGTTTAATAATGACTTAGATTCTCTACTTTCTAGGTTTGTAGGATTGTTTTCGTCTAGATGTTACAAAGTGTGTTTTCTGTATCCCTCTTTGTTCGCTATTAAGTGAATGTTAGAACTATGAGCTTTATAGATGGTATGGTGTCTCAGTGTATGGAATTAGAAGGTATATAGCATTCACTTGTCCAGAGTTGTAAAATTTCTCTCTTACATGTTATATTTTATTCCCTTTGATCAAGGAACAGTATGTTTGTGATACTTGGTTCCAAATGAATGTTCTATTCCCATTAGCTATTTCTCTGATAATTTTTAAAAAAACAGTTAAATATCCTAGTTTATGTCTAATTCATTATGGACTACTAAATGAAGACTGCATTTTATCATTCTGTTTTTATCTAATGGTCTCTTTTATTAGTTGAACTGTGAAATACTCAGAGGGCAGAATAAGTGCTTATTTTCTTCACATTAATTGCCAATTTTAATATTAAGGAGGTGGTTAATAGTGTGAGTTTTTTTATTTTTGTTTTGTTTTGTTTTTCGGTGCTGGGGTTTCAACTCAGTGCCTACATCTTGAATCACTCCACCAGCCTTTTTTTTTGTGAAGGATTTTTTCCAAACAGGGTCTCACAAACTTTTTGCCTAGATTGGTTTCAAAGCATGATCCTCCTGATTTCTGCCTCCTAAGTAGCTAGGGTTATAAGCGTGAGCTACTGGCACCTGGCTCAAACGCATTTTTAAAAAAATTGTAGTAAATTATATAACATAAGGTATACCATATTAACTGTTTTAAATGTACAGTTCTGTGACATCAGGTATGCTCACATGATTCGTGCAACCATCACTGTCATCCATCTCTAGAAATGTTTATCTGGACAAACTGTAACTCAGTACCCAGTAACCAATTATTCCCTTTTAAACCCCTGGCAAACACTGTTCTGTTTTTTGTCTATGAAGTTTTTCCTCCTAGATACTTCATGTTAGTGGAATCATGCAGTACTCAGCATAATGGCCTCAAAGTTCATTTGTGTGGTAGCATGTGTCAGAGTCTCATTTCTTTTTTGAGTGGATTTTTTTTTTTTCAACTTAAAACAATTTTGGCCTTTGGATTCTATTTGTACATTTTATTATTAGGTAAGTTCCCGCTGTGAAGAGGAAAATCTTCTATCCCGATGTCGATCTAGTGCTCAAAACAAGCAGGTGGATGAGAATTCTTTGATATCAACCAAAGAAGAGCCTCCGGTTCTTGAAAGGGAGGCTCCATTTTTGGAGGGGCCTTTGGCTCATTCAGAACTTGGAGGTGGACATGCTGAGTTGCCACAGCTGACCTTGTCTGTGCCTGTGGCTCCAGAAGTCTCCCTGCGTCCTGCCCTTGAGTCTGAGGAATTGCTTGTTAAAACACCAGGTAAGGTGGGGATGGGGTCTCATTATGTAGGCAGATATGACTGGATCCAGCAGGATATTTTTATTATGTTTTGATGTAAAGCTAATATTTTGACTTTATAGGACAAACTTCCCATTTTTGTCTTAGGAAATCCCTAAAATGGTGGCTAATTTGATAAGAGTTTCTAACCATGAATTGATTTGTGTTACACTCTGAAAAAGGCATTTTTAATCTAGTCGTGGCATTTTTAATTTGGCCGTGCTATGGTTGCAGTCACCAGGACTCACACACTCTACCAAGTAGTATTACCACTGTGTTACATCTTAAACCCTAAAGGAGTTGCTTGTTTTGGTGAGACTGAGGTTTGAACTCTAGGATTCTAGCTTGTAAAGTGGTGCTCTGTTGATTCAGCCATGCCTTTAGTCCATTTTGCTGTGGTTATATTTTTGGAGCTGGAGTCTGGGAAACTATTTGTTGGGGCTGACCTCCAACTCAGATCTCCCTGGTCTCAGCCTCCCTAGTAACTAAGATTATAGCCCCAAAGGATTTTTAAAAGAAGAGGAAAGATACCCATATTTCATTTCATATCATGTACCAAATCCTATGTGTAGACTCTTAAATGAGTTTGTGGTACCGGGATTTGAATTTGGGCCTCCTGCTTGCTAGACAGGTATGTCAGTACTTGAACCACTCTCCTAGCCAATATTAGCCTCTTATATAATTAAGAATAGTTTTCTCAGTAATTAGATCTTTTTAATTGAATTATGTGTTTAGGGGCAGAACAAAAATTGTAGTCCTGCTCTGTTAATTTCTGTTATGCCTAGAAATTAAGCTCTACTTCACTTCTTTCTTTTGTCCTTACCATCAGTTAGTTGCTATAAATGCAGTTCAACCGTTTTTCATTTCTCTCTTATACTGTGATTTAAAATGAATGCACATAAGAACACCCTCACATTGGTTTGTGTCTTCATTGAGGCCTATTTATTTTTAAGTAATGTTTTAGAACAGATAAATTCCTATTGTATCCTCCCATCAGATGATAAGGAAGACACAGTATTGTGACCCTTTTTTATATTAAACAGATCTTAAAAAAATTACCTGCTGCGAGTCTCTAAAAATCATCTAATGAGAAGTTATGTGCATTTCAGGAAATTATGAAAGTAAGCGTCAAAGAAAACCAACTAAGAAACTTCTTGAATCTAATGATTTAGACCCAGGATTTATGCCTAAGAAGGGGGACATTGGCCTTTCTAGAAAGGTATGTTATTTTTGTCAAATCTAAAACAGTATTAAACCCAGGAAGTAATAGGGTTTAACAATAAATCTTTTAACATTAAAAGATTTAGGATTATTTAACAATAAATCTTAACATTGATGTGCGTGTACAGTAATCCTTGTTAGTTGAGGTTTTGCTTTCTGCAGTTTCAGGCAACTGATTAACTCTGTTTTAAAAATACTAAGTGGAAAATTCCCTAAATAAACAGTACATAGTTTAAATTGCATATATTTCTGAGTATGTGATTAAGATCTCATGCTGTCGGGGGAGGGGGTAAGGGGGGGTGGGGAGAAGAGGGGAGAAATGACCCAAACATTGTGTGCACATATGAATAAAATAAAAATTTAAAAAAAAAAAAAGATCTCATGCTGTTTTGACATCCTGTCATCAGCTCTCCCCCCACCGCCCCCCAGGTCTTGTGGATGTGACCCTTCCCCTTGTCTAGCATACCGCACACATGTGTGTGGTACCTACCAGTGTCACTTAGGAGATGAACTCTCAAGGCCTTGCAGGGTTTGTATTTGGGTCATTCTTATTTTACTTAATAATGGCTCCAGTGCAAGAGTGGTGATAGCAATTTAGTGCTTCCTTTTAGTGAAAAGGTGAATGCTTTCAACTTGATAAGGAAAAGGAAAAACACTGTTTTTTGAAGTTCTGGAAAACTGCAGTAAGAACGAACCTTCTATTCATGAAGTTGTAAAGAAGGAAAAAAAAATTTTGCTACTGTTGGCTATTAAATCTCAAGCTGCAGAAACTATGGCCACCAAATGTGGTATTTAGTTAAAGTGGAAAGGGCATTAAATTTATTGATGGAACCAGATCTGGTTCCACCTGTAATCCCAACCACTTGGGAGATGGAGATGAAGATGATCACAGTTTCAAGTCCAGCCTGGGCAAAGAAGTTAGTGAGACCCCATCTCAGCAAACATTTGGAGTGGTGATACATACTTGTAATCCCAGCTGCATAGGAGGAATAGGTAGGATTGAGTTCCTGAGGCTGTCTATGAAAAAAATAGGACACCCTGTCTAAAAATTAGCTAATTGCAAAAAGGCCTTGGGGCATGTCTCAAATGAGATATAGTGCTTGCCTACCGGCAGGAAACCCTTAGTTCAAACCAAGTACTACCTCCATTTCCTGGTTATTCTTTGTAGGTGGAAGGTAGTAACTGAAAATGTGTTCCAATTGCTGGCAAAGCATTGTGCCACCAAGTACTCACCCTACATCCAGACTTTACCAAGGTATCCCCCTGAAACAGGTGACATAAAACCATTTATTGCTAGCAAAAGTATGGTTGTACAAATTTTAGAATAGGTTTGGACTGAAAAATCTAAAAATTTGCAGGGAGGTTGTGTCTGCCAATGAAGAAGCTGCTGCCGTGTTTCCGGCAGAGTTGAAGGTGATTAAGGAGAAAGGATGCCATGCAGAGCAAGTCTCCAGTGGTGATGACATCAGGTCTTTACGAACGTGGCCAGTAGAGCCTACATTCACAAAAGTAAAAAAGGAAGCACTAGGGCATAAAATGTGGAAGGTCAGATTAACTCTGATGAGTAAACAATAATAAAATCTTTGGAAAGAGAGAAAAACCACATTCATAACTTTTATCACAATATCATTTTTATATCATGCTATCAGTTATTATCTCTTACTGTATCTCATTTAATAAACCACGTCCATGTATATGTAGGAGAACATAGTGTGTGTAGAATCCGGTTCTAGCTGAAGGTCTTGTAGTGCATCCCTCTGGATGGGGAGGGAAGAACTGCATAATGAGATTACAGTGTCAGTAAGTATATGGGATCTGAAACCCTATATTAAAAGATGGCTTTGCCATCTTTATGGTCTTTTCAGGACCATGTGTATAAAAAAATGAAAAAGCTTTCAAGATTGAATATAGTGTGTGTTTGTGATAAATTTTTTTCTGGACTCAAAACCTCTTCTCTGGCTTCCATTTTCTGTCTCTTGTGTTATTAATCTTACTACTTTGTGAGGCAGAAGAGAGCTGTCTTTGTTATAATCTGTTAATTTAAAATATTTTGGGTTTGCAGTAGGTGGGAGTAGAAGGTTAAATTTCACCTTGGATAATGACTTGATAATGATTTTTAGAGAACTTCTTGTTCCCCTTATGTGTTAGAAGTAACTTTGGGTGAATGATAGAAATTCAATTGCAAGCTGTATGTGGTGGCACATGCTGACAATCCCAGCTACTGGGAGGTAGAGGTAGGATTGTGAGTTGAGACCAGCCGGGCAAAGTTAGCAAGTGGATGAGGGATTCTGAGGGTGAGGCTCAAGTGGTAGAGAGCTTGGCTAGCATGCTTGAAGACCCTATGTTCTGTCTCCAGTGCCTGCATCCACATGAGAAAAGAACAAAAGAAAGAAGCACACACATTTCTTATTAAGCCTTTTTTTTGGGGTGGGGACTGGGATGGTGGGAGGCAGTACTGGGGTTTGAACTCAGGGCCTTCACATTGAGCCACTCCACCAGCCCTATTTTTGTGAAGGGTTTTCCGAGATAGGGTCTCGCAGAACTACTTGCCTGGTCTGGCTATGAACCTCGATCCTCCTGATTTCTGCCTCCTGAGTTTCTGGAATTACAGGCATGAGCCACCAGTGTCCAACTTTTTTTTTTCTTTTTTTCATTTTTCCTTTTTAAAGGTGGTACTTGGGCTTGAACTTGGGGCCTTGTGCTTGCTCAGTAATTACTTTACCAGTGCTTTATGTATTTGAGGTATGCATTCTTTGTCAAATGTGTAAGGTATTCTTTCCCAGCTGGAGATTTTCGTATTTATTTCTTAGTAGTGTCTTTTTCATAAGAAGGAAAATGTAAATTTTGGCCATTTTTTTCAATTTATGATTAATACTTTTAATGTCTTGTTCAAAAAATCTTTCTCTATCCTATGGCCTCAGAGATACTGTTGTGCTGTCTTTTTTGGAGCATTGTGGTTTGTGCTGGATGTCATAAATAGATCTTTGTTACTTCTTGAATTTTTGAGATTGATTTTTTTTTTTTTCTTTCTTTTTTTTTTTTTTTTGTGGCACTGGGGTTTGAACACGGGGCCTCCTATTTGCTAGGCAGGTACTCTTACTGCTTGAGCTACTCCGTCAGTCCTTGAGGTAGAATTTTGAAATTAATTTTCCTCTATATAAATGTCAGATTTGCCATTTTAAAAATTGTCTGATTTCCCCAACTCAGACCTATCTCTTTCTCTCTATCCCAGTCTCTCTCTGTCTCTTTCTATCCCACCTGTCTGTGTCCATCTATATGTTTCTCTCTCCTGATCTACTCACTGTTGAATTTTGAGATGGGAGTGACCATTAAACTTGGCACTAGAGCAATTAAAAACCAGAATTAATGTTTTGGATAGCACCAGAGTTTGGAGAAATAGTAGCCTCTTGGCTGTTCTTGGAGTCGGTCTTGCCATCTGACCTAGTCAATTTCATCATTGAGGTTCTGGTTACTCTGAGGTACATTATGTTGCTGTAACATTGAAGTCTTGATTTATTTTCAATTTGGAACTAGATCATGTTTTACTAGTCTGGCCTTTTTGTCTGCAGATGGGTTAATTAATAGGTTAGAGAGTGAGAAATTGTCTATTGAGGTAGAATCTACCTGTTTAAATACCTGGTTTAATTTGTGTTTACAACAGACTAAATTTTTAAGTTAGTTATTAACATCTTACATCCTCTGAGGTCCTTGTAAAGTCCTGTGCTCCTTTTCTTTTTAAGCAAATCAGATTTATTTTTATTCACTTAATGTGGTATGTTTGTGTGCGTGCGTGCGCGCTTACTCCTATTTTCATAAAATTGATAAGGTTGGAAATGAGAATATTTCTCATTTTTTCTCTGATAGTATTTTTGGAGCATTCTAATTGTTTATTTCTGCAGCTTTTGGATTACTGTTGCACCGTGAACTGTAAATTGGTTATCTAGATAATGGTATTTACCCTTAGATTATGTAATTCTCTTTTGTGAATTTGTCAGGAGTCAAAATTCCAAAATTCACAGTTGCATTTTATCTTGTTTTAGTCTTAAACCTTTGAAATTTTATAGCAAGAATGGGAAGAACTATATTGATTTTTTTTTTTTTACACCCAATAGATTTTTGATTTTTAAAAAAGTTATTACGAATTTTTTTTTTTTTTTCAGTACTGGGGTTTGAACTCAGGGCCTCACGCTTGCCAGGCAGGCGCTCTACCATTCAACACACTCTGTCAACCCAATATTACCATTCTTGGAATGGAACTAATTTATATAAGCATCAGTAGTGGGTGAATAAAGTGTGTAAGTCCTTGCTTCCCCCTGCTTTTCATTTGGAGGCATCATTTGCCTTTGTAGCCCTGACTGGCTTGTCTGGGCCAGACTTGCTATTCCCAGCCTCTTTCTAGTATTGAGATTATAGGCATGAACCACCACACTTAGAGGCTTTGGAGTTTTTTAGGGGAGAGGAAAATGAGGAATATGATTCTAGGGACCAAACTTAGGCCCTGTGGATGCTAGGCAAGCACTTTGCCACTGAGCTGCACCTTCAGCCTAGTTTTGAGTTTCAGTGTTACTTCAGATCAGTCTGAAGCCACTTAAGTTATAAAGATAGCCCACATTTTAGAGTTGTTTGGTATTCAGTGTTCATGAAGTAAATAAGTTTGTGAAAACTAATGGCTATGGAGCGGGGCATGGCTCAAGTGGTAGAGCACTTGCCTAGCAAGCCCTAGACCCTGAGGTCAAACCCCAGTACTGCTACATAAAACAAAACATATGACAAGTAAAAAAAAAAACCTCATGGCTATAAATACAAGTTTAAAATGGTGAATTTTAAACACAGGGTAGAGTGAAATAGGACTGAGGTGGTGGTACCTAACCATTTTCTCTCCATCTGTCTCTTTCTCTCTTTTTGTATCCTAGAATGGCCTCAGTCCTCCTGCCTTAGCCCCCCAAGTGCTGGGATTGTAGTATGTACCACCATGCCCATCCTGAACAGAATTCTTTACCTGTTTTTTTGGTTGCTATTTTTTTATACTGTGTTTGAACCCAGGGTCTCTAGTGCTGTATCATGCCTCCTATATAGTGGAATCTCTGAGTAATCTTTTTCTTTTTTTAATCCTTTTGCCATGACATTTCTGTCCAACTCTGTACTTTCATCATTCTGTTCTATAAGTTGCCCAAATCAGCCAGAATTCAGAGCGTATGTCATAGACAATATAAATTTGGGTGTGCTTTTCCGTTTCTTGGTAAATGATGTTGCTTTCTACTTACCTCTAGTGCTATGAAGCTGGTCACTTGGGAAATGGCATTACTGGCTCATGTGCTGGATCTCATTTGAAAGAGTTTGGAGGTAAGTTTTTTGAGATTGAGAAAATGTTAACGAAGACATAAGTTTGAAGCACTTTGTTGGTTAGAAAAAAATGATTACATATGTAATCAAGACCAGCAAAGTTGAACATTTTGAAAATTGTTCACAATACAATTCCTGAAACTTTAGAAAATTTTAGCTATATTCAGGCTTTATGCTGTTAATAGATAAATGAAATTACAATTTTATTTGAGTAAGGAAATATTTGGAACAATAGAAAATCAGCTGCTTTAATTTTTCTACTAGTCTTAAGTTTCTATACTGCATAAATAATTTCTTAGCTTTCATTCTTTATAGTGAAAATGATAGTAGAATTTATTACAAATGAGTACACTTTCAATAGACTGAAAGTGGGTCATCTTGAGTGTGAATGATCTCAATTTTTATTTCTATAAGGTGGAAAATGTCAAATCTAAGTTGAGAGGAAAATCATAGATCATTTGACCCAGTCTTTCACAAATTCTCCTCATTTCTTTTATCATATCTAAATTGTCTCATTTTCTGTGACCTTTGTTCAGTTTGCATATGCTTGGAAAGGAAAGCATTCATTGGATCTGTTCCATTGTGGGTCTCTTGAGGTTTGGTAATCTTCTATTTGAAATTAGAAACTGGCTCCTTAATCTTCTACTTGGTGACCTTTGTTCTGTCCCCACTAACTTTTGGAGGACTGTTACTAATAATCCATCTAACAGATTACAAAGAGTTGGGATATTATTTATAGTCTTCTGTTTTACAGAAGAAGCGTGAAGGAGTTGGCAGGATTAGTGAATTAAATCCAGATAAAATTCATTGCTATGCTACTATCTTGTCCTTTGTAGATTTTCTTTGTTTTTTCCTACCATTTTTATCATCTGAATGTCAGTGCCATTTATTTGTCATTCTTGAAATACTTCCCTAGATTTAGCATACAGATGTGATCTACCAGCAAATAGTATATGAGAAGATGATATTTCATATGGTCTTAGATATCCATTCTTATAACATGATTCATGATTATTGCATTTTCTAATAAGTCTAATAATATGTTAGCTTATTTTAATCACCTGAGCAGTTACAATCCCATCATTTGGTTAGTTTGCTTGATTGATTTTAAAATAAACTTCTTTAAAAATGTCAGACCTTTTACATTTCAGTTTTTTGTTAAACCTATAATAGGAACTTTATCCTTTCAAATTTCATCTGAGTATTGCAGTGTATAAGCCAGGAGTGAGGATGTAGCTCAGTGGTAAAGTGCTTGCCTAGCATGCATGAGGCTAGGTTCCACCTCTAGCAACACAACAAAGAAAAAGAAGAAAGAATTTAGAATTTGTGTGTGTGTGTATGTGTGTGTGGCACTGGGGTTTGAACTCAGGGCTTTGAGCTTGCAGTGAAGGTGTGCTGCTGCTTGAACCACACCCCCAGTCCATTTTGCTTTGTTTATTTTGGGGATGAGGTACTCGAATTATTTGCCCAGTCTGGTCTTGAACTGTGATCCTTCTGATCTTAGCCTCCTAATTAGCTAGGATTATAGCTATGAGCCACCAGTGCCCGATTTAACTGAGTTTTACTAGGTTTGTATGTGTGTGTGTGGTGTGGGGGGGTAGGTACTGTGGTTTGAACAGTCAGGGTCTACACCTTGAGCCACTCCACCAGCCCTTTTTATGCTGTTTTTTTGAGAATAGGGTCTTGTGAAGTATTTGTCCGGGCTGGCTTCAAACCTTGAGCCTCCTGATCTCTGCCTCCTGAGTAGTTAGGATTACAGGCATGAGCCACCCGGCCCTGGCTTAAGGTTACTTTTTACTTTAACCTACCATATTTCTGTGAGATGCTTTTATTTAAAGATCAGAGTTCTTGGGTAGTGTGTTAGCCATTAGGTAACACTTGTTTTCCTGTCATAGGCACTACGAAGATATTTGATAAGCCAAGGAAGCGAAAACGGCAAAGGCATGTTACAGCCAAAGTGCATTGCAAAAGGGTGAAAAATGAGGACTCCTCAAAAGAGACTCCAGAGGTATTACTCAGTTCCTAATCTTTTAACCTTTCAAAGAGAAGCTACTTTCCCCATTAGAGGCCATGTCCCTCTCCCTTGAGTTACTTAAGAATAGTACTCTATTGAAATGGGTGTGGGTATAAGGAACCCTCGGGTAGGAGAGCCTGATACTAGTAAAATAAGCTTAGTTTATTGCAACTATGATTATGTCCTATACTTTAGGGTTCAGATGAAATATATAATTATTTCCATACTAAGTAAACTTGATCTAAAACCAGAGAGCACAATATCAAATAACCATAGGATCTAAAATTTAGATAATGCCCTTTAATGGTTCAGATTGCTGCAATTAGTGGGAAAATTCATTTGCTTATTTCTCTCCCATCAGTTGCTTAATTTGGGGATAATATATAGAAACATACAGGTTTCAAGAAACAAAAACTGTGAAGTGTCAGTGCAGTCATTGATGCTAACTCTGGCTTTCCAACTCAAAAGAGAATTAGAAGCATCAGCATCACACATTATGATTCAGAATGTTTATTTCCTGAACGATTTGAATAGAATGCCCAAGCGGGGCATTATTTAGGAAACACGTCTTGGAAGGACAAATAAGTAATCAAATAAACTTAAGAATGTTTTCTCTCCCTTAGTGAAACCTTTAAATGGAACAGCTCAAAAAGTTCCAGTGGAACAGCCTCAGAGCAGTTAGTGGCAGGGCATGAGGCGCCCACTACCCGCCCAATCACAGCAGGGTTAGAACTAACATTGCATGCAGTCCGCCCGCGTGATTGGCTGAACATCTGTAAGTGCTTAATGACTAGACAAATAGCAGCCCAGAGGGCGGGGGTCAGATGGAGGAGACACCAATAATACAGATGTGGGACATTATTTTTTTCTCTGCAAGGGAGAACTCATGACTCACAGGACTGCTGCAAGCCCCAAGGATACTATTGAGGATGGTATGGAACACGACCCTGGGATGTCTGCGTCCAAAAAACTGCAGGGTGAACGAGGTGGAGGAGCTGCACTCAAGGAGAATGTTTGTCAGGTAGACGATGTTTGCCCCTTGTATTTTCATTGTATGTTTATTTTTTAAGAGAAGTTCCACCCCCATGACCTTATTGTGGTTCTGAAAAAATAAAAGTGCTGTGGTTGATTCCAGTGTAATCACTTTAAGGCTATAATTCTTCTCTCCCACAAAAAGAGAAAGAAAGAGCTTGATATTGGTGAACCATCTACCCTGTTGTGCCAGGTGTATTTGTCCTTGTAGCAGGTCTGAGTGAGAGATGTACATCTGTGATTACTTAATTGAACTAATTTTTGTGTCCTGTACTTCATAGTGTGGGAATTTTTGTATTTCTAAGAAATTTTTCAAGGATTACTTTAGTTAGCTTTGAAATTTTTTTCCTCTAAAGTGGTGACTTTAGAAGACCATTCACAGTGAGGTGCCAGTGGCTCATGCCTGTAATCCTAGTTACTGAGGAGGCAGAGATCAGGAGAATTGTGGTCCAAAGAGCCTGGGCAAATAGTTCTGGAGACTTTATTTTGGGCGGAAAAAAAAAGGGCTGGTGGAGAGGCTCAAGGTATAGGCCCAGTACTGCCAAAAAAAAAAAAAAAAAAAAAAGACCTATTACATATATTTATTTTTCCATTTATTCAATAAATATTTGTGCAATGTTTACTATGTGTCAGGTATTATTCTTAGCAATTTGTAAATATTAAATCTTTCAGTTATCATCATAATCTCATAAGATAGATTTCTGTTTTTATCATTTTGAAGATGATGAAACTGAACTACAGAGAAATTAAAGTTCTTGTATATAGTCATACAGTAAAGCCTTAGTTCAAATCTTGCCTTTCTGGGTTTAGAGTCCTAACCATTGTGTTGTCTTTCAGCAACACAATGAAGTAGATTTAACTCTACTTTATTATTTATGAACCTTTAAGGGTTTGGAAGTAGCCAATTCAATGGATGTTTTCTGTGTGTTCTCTTTTGAACATTTTGATTTGCCTACGTAAATTTAAAAGCAGGCTCATAAAAACGTTGGCCTACTATATGTTATTGTGACCAGTATAATTTTATCCTAGCTTCTTTGTCTGTTCTTTTTTTTCTATTATGTAAAGAATGTTTGACCATATTAGGACAAGCTCCAATCACAGTGGGGGTTACCAAAGGCAGTTATTCTTATTGTATATTGAGCGAAACAAGTTAGAGTATAAACACACTTTACAAAGCTGATTAAAATAATAAATAAATAAATTAATAAAAATGAAGTCAGAGGTAGCCAAGCAAGCCTGTAATCCAAGCACTTGAGAGGCAGAGAGGCTAAAGGATCACAAATTTTAGGCCAGTTTGGACTACATATCTTAAAAACAACTGAGCTGAGTTGTTGCTAAAGTGGTAGAGCACCTGTCTGGCTGAACAAAGCCCTGAGTTCAAGCCCTTGTACTGTCAGAAACTAAAGTGGAAACAAACAAAGGCAAAGTGACCTGTGGTCCTGCGTCCTGGCTCGTCTGGCCTTAGTGTTTTGTAAATTATTATTATTATTATTATTATTATTATTATTATTATTATTTTGTGCAGTGTTGGTGTTTGAACTCACGGCCTTCACCTTGAGCCTCCCCACCAGCCATTATTTTTGTGATGGGTTTTTTTGAGATAGGGTCTCTCGAATGATTTTCCAAGGCTCACCTTGAACCACCATCCTCTTGAGTAGCTAGGATCATAGGCATGAGCCACTGGCACATGGCAAATTTTATAACTTATTAGGAGCATCCCTTTTCACTCTGAACTGTGCCAGTTTGAGAATAAGTTACACGGTCATCTCAACTAAAGAGTTAGTCTGGGCGGTCGGGGTAGGTGGCCCAAAGAATCTGTACACATTTGAATAAATGTAAAAACGATAAAATTAAAAAATAAAAATAGTCTAAAACATTTAAATAGTTTAAAAAATTTACTCTTTAATACTGTAATTGAAATTGTAAATAAAAGCTGATGTCATTGGTATTCTGAATATATAAAATATATATACAAAATATATGCTCAAAAACAGTAACATGGAATTTTTCAGTTGTAGTGTAGGAATAACAGATAATAGGAGAATCAATCATTTGAGAATAGCCCATGCTACAGGTTGGTTATGGCCCTAGCATCCCCTCTTAATCCTAAGCTGCCTTTCTGGCTTCTCTTCCCAAAGCCCTTGTACTTACTTTTTCGTTCAAGCTTTAATGTCTTTAACTGGCCAACATCTGTTCTATTTCCTTGATTTGGGGTTTGGGAAGGGACTGGGATTTGCAATGACAGCTTCGTGGTCACAATGCAGGCACTCTGCTGCTTGAGCCATGCCTCCAGCACCTGGCTTCTTTGATTTCTCAAAGGTAGTAGATCTTGCTTAGTTACCTTCCCACATTCATGCCTTACATATTAAGTATAATCACCCTTGCCATTCACAGGTCCACATTTTTGGGGGTCAACCAATTATGACTGGAAATATTTGTGAAAAAAACATTACAGTGTTCCTGACTTGTGCTATATAGTAAAGCCCGTGATGGCCTTCACTGAACATTACAACTATTTTTATAACATGTACATTGTATATTTTAAGTAATCTAGAGATGGTTTAAAATATGTGGGAAGATGAAGGGCTGGGGATATACCTCAGTGTTTGTGCACTTGCCATACAGGCATGAGGCCTTAGGTTTGTTCAGTTCCCAACTCTGGCAAAAAATTTTTAAAAACACCAAATTTAAGATACTTAGGAGAATGTGTGCAGATTATATGCAATTGTATCATTTTCTATGATGAACTTGAGCAACCACCCTTTTTTTTGTATCTGTGGGGGATCCTCTTTGATTGTATAAAGCTGTTTTAGAATGGTGAAAAGTAACAAATGTTGGAAATTTGCAGTTTTCATAATTCTTACAGTGTTTTCATAGTAACAGATAGAGATCCTTATTTCCTGTGCTCTTGCCTTATGTAACACCATGTCTTAGATGAGATCTTCTGAGAAATGTTCTCCCTCTTGTCTAGCATGCACAAGGCTATGGATTCAATCCCCAGGATGGGGTAGCAGGTTGAAATGTTGGTCTCTGAGCTGATTCTGAATGTAATTGAAGGGGCTGTTCAGACTTTGTCTCTTTTGGAACTATTAATAATGCATGTCCAGCTGTCTGATATCATAGCTCTCTTGCTTGAACCACTGCAGTAGCCTTTGAGTTTGTCTTTTTGTTCTTACTGTTTTTCTCTTGAATTCATTTTCTAATTAGCAGCTATAGGGTTTTTTTTTAATGAATGAACATACGATTTTACCCCTTAATTGATGAAAATCAGTAGTTCACCATTGCAATTACAAAAAAATCTAAAAGTATATGCCCTTGCCTCTTTCTCACTTCATTTTCCTGCCTGTTAGCAACTTTTCTTCACTTTAGTCTAGTGACAGTGGCGTTTCTTGGGACTCTCTAACATGCCATGTTTTTTTGTTTGTTTGTTTTTTCTTATCTGTGGACTTTTGTACTTGGTGCCTTCATTCAGAATTCTCTACCTAATACTAATCAGTATCTGATGGCTTTTCCATTTTTCTCTTAAAGCATTTGCTTGTATGCTCCATCTCTTGAATATAAGAGCCAGGGACCTTGTGGTGCCTGGCACATGAGAGGTAGTTAATAATATTTCTTAAATGAAGGAAGAAATGTCATGATTTATTCAAAGCTACTTACTTTTAGGGGACGGTACTAGGGTTTGAACTCAGGGTTTCTCACTTGCTAGGTAGGCACTCTACCGCTTGAGTTCCAATCCATAAAGCTACTTCTTCTTTTTTTTTTTTTAAATTAGCATATTTTAGTAATACAAGGAGAGTTCATTGTGGTAATTCCACACATGCATAAAGTGTACCTTGAACACATTCACCCCTCCATTATATTTCCATTCTCCTTTCCTCTTGCCTCCTCCCCCAACAAAGCTACTTCTTAACCTTTGCCTTTATGAGTGCTGTTCATTTGGATTTTTCTTTTTCTATAGATGGATTTGTTTCTTTCCCTTAACAGAACTGTGAGAAACTGGGTGAGCTGCTGTTATGTGAGGCTCAGTGCTGTGGGGCTTTCCACCTGGAGTGCCTTGGCTTAACTGAGATGCCAAGAGGAAAATTTATCTGCAATGAATGTCGCACAGGTAAAGTAGATACACAGAAGTCTTCTGCTGAATAAATTTTGAGTTTTAACCTTTTCAGGGAAAAAAAATGTACTGGACACAGCTATTTTTTTTTTTGCAGCACTGTGTAGTTGGTACACGTACAGACCTAGATGCCATGAGGTTTTAGGCCTCAGAAAAGCATAGCATGTGAATAATAAATGAGTAGCTTAATACAGCAAGAAGATACTGTATTAGAGATACATTTAAAGTACAGTGTCAAGAAACAGGAAGTAATGCCACAAAGGAAGATACCTGAGTGTGGTTTTAAAATCTACTCGAAAGGCTGAGATTGGAAGGATCTTGTTTTGAGGCCAGCTGGGGCAAATAGTTGGAGAGACTCTTATCTCTGAAATAACCAGAGTAAAATGGATCAGAGGTGTGGCTCAAGAGGTAGAGTGCCTGCTTGCCTTGCAAGCACAAAACCCTGAATTCAAACCAGGCACAAGATCCGTTGTTGAAAGTATATGAAATATTTGGTTAGTAGGGAGTATATACCTAAATATATATATTTGGAGGTTAAGATATTTTAGTTCAGAGGCATAGTTAGTAATTGTGACTTGGAAGGTTTCTGGGTTGCTGGTGATACTTTACATTTTTTGATCTGTGTTGATGGTATGAGCTTGTTTTAGTTCATGACTGTTCATGAACTATATACTTAAGATGTGTGCGCTTGTCTCTGTGTATTTCTTATATCAATAAAAATGTTTACCAGTTACAGAAAAGCTTATTTGGGAGAGTTACTATATAAGGATTGGGTGAGAAATGGGAATGATCTGCTAATACAGGCCTGAAAAGCACTTTATAAGCTATGCTAAGAAAAGTGTTGTTGATCCAGCATGATACAGATGTTGCAGCATTTAACCAGTGAAGCCAGGTCTTATGCTCATGTGTAATTGAAGCTGTAAGTATGTTTGATTCTGTCCAATGCAAAAGTGTCTGGAGTGATGAGAGCCAGTCACACTATTTGAGGACACTCACTTACACGGAACTATTGCACCATGAGCAGTTAGTGTCTGCGATGCCACTTAAGTGGGGTATCATCAGCAGGGATTGGTGTGACAAAGGTATCAAGGAGGATTTGGAGTGAAAAGAGGCTTTTTTTTTTTTAGCACATGTCAGAGGCCACAACTCTGACACCAGGGTGAAGGGTGAATGTGTGTTATCCTACACTACATTTTGACGAAGCTTCACTTTAAGGCAGTACCTGAAGACAGGCCATTTGAGGTTCATTCATGCTAAAGCCCATCTTGAGTGTTGGGGTTAAAAACTAGTGTAGGAGAATGAATTTCCATAACAAGGAATATGCTAGAGCTCACTCACAGATAGGAGAGGACAGTTCAGAAGAGAAGAAAGATAACAGCAAAAGGGGAATGAACAGTTCATTTGGGAAGCTGAAGGAGGAGGAAGCTGAGCCTCACAGGAGGAACTTCTTTCTTTGCTTAGGGAGAATTTTGGAAAAGATAGCTGTTTCTAACTCAAAGCATAGAATACAGCTTTAGAGTACCCCACTGGGGAACAGACAATAATCTCATGTGTATAGATTAGGTAGCCATATGTCAGATTGAGGCACCAATCAGTTGGGGTAATGGATTTTTTTTTTTTTTGTAGCCACGTTCACTAATGTGGGAACAAAAGCTGTAAGACAAGGTTGTTATTGGTTTACTTGGGCTTTTTTGATTGTTGTGCGAGATAGTACTATTCAGCCCTGTAAATGAAATGCAGAAAAAAATTTTTTGTAAGTCTGTGCATGTTTCCATTATCCTAATTTTAGCAAACTCTTCTTGTCTTTTGTGGCAAAATCCAAATTTTTTTGTCAATGTGTGGTTTATTTCTGGGTTATATTTATTCTATTGGCGTCAGTCTATTTTTATGCCAGTACAATGCTGTTTTTATTGTAACTTTGTTCTATAATTTGAAGTCTATTTAGTGTGGTGTCTCTAGCTTTGATCATTTTACTCAAATTGCTTTAGCTATTCATGATCTTTTGTGCTTTTATACAAACTTTAGATTCCTGAGAAGAATATCTTTTTTTCCCCCTTCTTCTTTTTTTGAAGACAGGTCCTGCTATGTAGTCTAGACCAGTCTGGAATTTTTAATCCTTGTCTGTTAGCCTCTTTAGTGCTATGAGTATAGGCTGGCCCTGCCATGCTAGATTGTCATTGATACTTTAATATAGAATTTATTGAATCTGTAGTTTGCTTTGTGGTAATACGGGTATTTTTGTAATTGCTATAAATAGAGTTTTTGTTTGTTTGTTTTCTCATGGTTTATTGGATTTTGATTTAAGGATATCATACTTGGTAGGCAAGTGTTCCACTGTTTGTATGTTATTTTCTTTTTTTTTTTTTTTTGGCAGTACTGGGTGTTGAACTTGGGAACTTTTGTGCTACCACTTGAGCCACTCTTCCAGCCCTTCTTTGGTTATTTTACAGATAGGATATTGCTTTTTGCCCAGGCCATTATACACTAGAGTCCTCCCATTTTACACTTCCCACCATTGCTGGAGTGACAGGTGTGTACCACCACACCCACCTTTTTACCACTGAGATGGGGTCTCACTAACTTTTTGCTCAGGCTGACCTCCACCTTCAGTCCTTCCAATCTCAGAGTCCCATATAGCAAGTATAGGAGTGAGCCACAAGTGCTTGGCTTGTTTTCTCTTTCTCCTCCCCCGCTTCTTCCTTGGCTTTTTTTTTTTTTTCTTTTATTCATATGTGCATACAATGTTTGGCTCATTTCTCTCCCCTTCCCCCCGCACCCTCCCTTTCCCCTTTTCCTTGGCTTTTGTAATGGCTCATTTTCTTAATGGTATCTTTAGAAGAGAAGAAGTATTTAATTTTGATAAAGTCTACTTAATTTGTTCTTTTTATGGACAATTCTTTGGTCTTAAATCTTTTTTTGGGGTAGTACTAGAGTGTAAACTCAGGGCCTTATGCTTGCTAGGCGCTCTAACACTTGAACTACTTTACCAGCCCTGTTTTGTGTTGGATATTTTCGAGATAGGGTCTCTTGAACTATTTGCCTGGGCTGGCTTCAAATTGAGATCCTCCTGATCTCTGCCTCCCAAGCAGCTTAAGATTGCTATAAGTGTCCAACCAAGAAATCTTGTTTAACCCAGAAAAAAAGGCTAAATTTTTTTCTTCTATGATATCTTGTGAAAATTTTATAATTTATCATCTATTTTAAATTAATTTTTGTATATGGTATGAAGTACAGATAGGGTGTTTTCTCCTGGCAGTGGAAATTGAACCCCAGGGTCTTGCACATGTTCATCACGTGCACCATCGCTAAGCTGCATCACCAGCCCAAGGGTACCTGTTTCAGTTAAGATGGCAAAATAAGAAGAGGGAGTCTTTTCTTACTGCTTGTGGCCCACTCTGTCTTAATGCAGTAGGGTGAGCACCTCGTTTAGATTAATTTAATAATAACTGTCAGTTGTTAGTATGAGGCAGTGGTTTGCTTCATTATAAACATGTATTTTCAGTTTTTTCCCAAAATTATTTTAGCTGGGTAATCTCTGTAGTTGTAGATGAGATGGGTGACTTGAGTAAGATTCTAATTATAGCAAGTGCCATGGCATGTTTCATAGTTAAGGTGTGCCTATCCCTCAAGATTCGGCTATTTTTTTTTCCTTCCTTCACATTTTATTACAGAAATCCTCAGACACAAACAGTGGCAGAAAGAACAATGTAAAGAATCTGCATGTGTTCATTATTTAGTTTCAGCAGTTAGCAACTTTCTGCCTCCTTGATCCTCCCCCCAACATGATTCTGTATTTGTTTTCGCTACTGGGATATGAATTCAGAGCTTTGTTCTTGCTAGGCAGGTGTTCTACTGCTTGATCCACACCTGAACACAATAACTCATATTTATCATATCCAGTTCATTTTCAGATTTTCCATTTCTCACAAAGGTGTTTTTTGTTTGTTTGTTTCATTTCGTTTTCTTGGACAGTACTGGCAATTGAACTCAAGTTGTTGCACTTCCTAGGAGGACACTTACCACTTGTCACTCTGCCATTACTTTTTGTATTGGTTATTTTTGAGATAGGGTTTCATTTTATACCCATTTCATTCTGGAGTGTGATCCTCCTATCTAGGCTTCCCCTCGAAGCCAGAATGACAGGCATGTACCACTGCACCCACCCATTGGTTAACAGGGGATCTCTCAGAATTTTTTCCAGGCTGGTCTTAAGCCACAGTCCTCTTGATCTCCACCTCTAAGTAGCAAGGTGTACAGGCTTAAGCTACCATGCCCTCCTTTACAGAAGTCTTTTTGTAGTGTTTTAAATCAAGATCCAAAGAAAGTCCTTCGATTGTACTTTTGTATATCTCTTAAGTTTCCTTTATTGACAGTAGTATTACCCTTCTTGCCCTATTTTTTTTTGGAGGGGGGGGCTTTTATTTTTTTTTTTTCCTGAAGCAATGGTCACTTGCCCCATTGTATTTTCTATACTCTGAAGTTTTTTTTTTTTTTGTTGCATCCTTGAGCTGGCCCTCTAACTTGTTCCTCTGTGTTCTTTACTTACTGGAAATGTATAGGTGGATCTAGAGGGTGGATTACATTTTGGGTTCTGTTATCTCTTTTTACAAGAATGCTTTGTATGACAAGCCCTGTGACACATGTCTGTAATCTTAATACCTGTGAGGGTGAGGCAGTAGGATTACAAGCTTGAGGCCAGCCTGGACTACATATTGAGTCCTGCCTCAGAAAACCAAGGGCTTAATGGCAGAGCTCTTGCCTAGCATGCACAAAGTTCAATTCCTAGCACTGGGAAGAAAGAATCAAAAGCTTTGTCAACCATGTGTGCTACCTGTTACATCACAATAATTACCATGTGTTGTAGTGATACTGATTTGTTCATCTGATTCATATGTTGTCAGCCTGATGAATCTGTTAACATTCCTTTTACAAAGTTTTCTACTATTTGTTATTATTATTCGGGAAAATTCTTAATTACTATTAATTTGTTACCTTTTTTTTCCCCTCCTCTCAGGAATCCATACTTGTTTTGTATGTAAGCAGAGTGGGGAAGATGTGAAAAGGTGCCTTCTACCCTTGTGTGGAAAGTTTTACCATGAAGAGTGTGTCCAGAAGTACCCACCAACTGTCATGCAGAACAAGGGCTTCCGGTGCTCCCTCCATATCTGTATAACCTGCCATGCTGCTAATCCAGCCAGCGTTTCTGCATCCAAAGGTATGAGTTTCTTATGTTGACCAGTCTAATTGTAGGGCCTTAGTTTCATTGGTAGTGGTTAATTTCAGATACATTCTGGAACGTATCTTCCACTCCAGCTTGTCAGCTACGTAGAGTAGCAACAGTGTTTTTGGGAGAATAGGGTAATGGACTAGTTCCACAGTCACCACATTGTCACCACATTGTTCTGTGGATACCTGTCATTATATGGTAGTTTAAATATTTGGATTTCATGTGCAGTTTAGTTTGAAAAAGTCTTTACTTCTTTTATGTTAGTTTATTGTATGTAGGTAGTTTGGTAATGGTATGGGTTGGTGAGGTATATTAGGAAGTGTATTTCATTTGGAAGGGGTGGAAAGGTTCATTTACTTGAAAATTGCAAACTATAGAATAGAAGGCAAAAATTGATATCCCATTTCTCTCTTCCCTTCATATATTTATTTATTTATGGTTGTGTTGGGGATTGAACTCAGCCTTGTGTTTGCTAGCAAGTGAGCTACACTTGAATCACTTCACCAGCTTCATACCCGTCATTTAGTCTGAGGCACATTCCAGGTTTTCTAGGAGTAAGGATAGTGTTTAAATAAGGTTTTTCGTGGTAAGACAGATTTGTTTACAGTTACAGGATCTAACTCCTTTTGGAGACTTAGCACGTGGTTCCCTTTTTCGTTTTTATGATGGATTACATGTTTAAAGTCCCTTGTCTTCATTTCTGGCATTTTGTTCATGCTACTTGCAATAGACTTGAATAACTCACATTGTTCTTGTAAGTAATTTCTTTGTTTTTGTTTTGCTCCCCCCTGGTTTTCCTTCTCAAAAACAGGTCGTCTGATGCGCTGTGTCCGTTGCCCTGTGGCATACCATGCCAATGACTTTTGTTTGGCTGCTGGTTCAAAAATCCTTGCATCTAATAGTATCATCTGCCCTAATCACTTTACCCCTAGGCGGGGTTGCCGAAATCATGAGCATGTTAATGTCAGCTGGTGTTTCGTGTGCTCCGAAGGTAAGATACCTTGTTGAATGAGTGGTCTCTAAAGGGATTAATAGACTGTTTTCATTGGAACAAAAATAATTCAAATTGCCAGTGGTGGAAATACTAGGAAGTACTGTTGTAAATCCATGATAACATAGCAGAACTTTTAAAACTTGGTTTTACTGCTCAATAGGGGGAGGTTGTTTTATTGTTTGTTTGAATAATGGTTTGGTTTTTGTTACAATGATAAACAATAAAAGCACTAAAGAAGAAAATAAAAGAAAATTACCACAAATCGTATCCTCAGGTGAGAAAAGATACATAGCTCACAATTGAGTTGTATTGCTTAGACATTTATGGGTATCAGCAGACTGAAGGGTCGAGGTCTGAATAGAAACAATTCTAGCTAATGATATCATTACGTATTTCATTTGTTCTTTGAGATGGAAATCTTAATATGTTGCCCAGACTAGTCTCAAAGTTGTAGACTCAAGTGGTCCTCCTTCCATAGCCTCTCTTGTAGACAATATACTGGTGCTGTCACACCCACCATTAAAAATTTATGTAATTGTATCATTCTCCCCTCCCCCAACCCTTTTTTTTTTTTTTGACAGTAGTAGTGTTTGAACTCAGGGCCTCATACTTGTTAAGCAGGCAACTTGATCATTTGACCCACTTTGCCAGTCCCAAATTAGGTTTTCCAACAATCAATTTTATAAGGGGGGGATGGTAAAAATGATTTAATTTACAGGTAAATATTTCCTTAATATAAAGGGTATCTGTCCTTAAAAGATTTTGTGCTATTGACTGGGTGCTACACCTACATATAATCCTGGGAAGCACAGATAAGGAAGCTTGAGACCAGCCATGGACAAAAAAAGTGAGACCTTATCTCAAGACATACCCAACACAAAAATGGCTGGTGGATTGGCTCAAGTAGCAGAGTACCTGCATAACAAAGTGTGAGACCCTGAGTTCAATCTCCCCAGTACTACCAAAAAAAAAAAATTTATGAAGGCTCACAATATAATCCTACTACAATCTTAAGATACTCAGGAGGTAGACATTGGGAGGATTGTGGTTTGAGACTAACTTGCGCAAACAAACAGCTCAAAGAGACCCCATCTTTTGGGGGGTATGTGTCAGATAGGGTCTTGTGAACTGTTTCCCCGGGCTACAACCACAGTCCTCCCAGTGTCTACCTCCTGAGTTATTACCTTATTTTAAGACAAGATTCAAATTCCATTTTGTATGTGGAATATTTCTAGTATATCATGAATGCAAATTGAAATAAAAGGAATACTTTTCAACTAAGACCTTGTTAAACTGTACTGTCAACCAAGTTGTTAATTCATGAGATAACCTGCAAAGATAGAGTTTGTATAATATGTATTCTGCATCTGGGTCCACTGAATTTATGTCACTATGTTACTGTATGTTCTATGCTGAAATTATTTGACTCATCTACAAAATGAATGAGATTGTGTGCTTGATCTAAATCTTACTCTGAATCTGAGCTTAAGTATTTTAAAACAGAAAGTGTTCTCCATTTGAAGTAGGGGTCAGGTTGTAGCACATAACCGTAGTTCACTTCCAAGACAAATAAAATTACCATTTTATTTGAAGAGCACGATCTAGATTATTTCAAGAAATGGTAACATTTACATGGGAAGAATTGTGTAAGGGAAGTATAGGAACTTCCAAATATAAGTTCCTAGTAAGTTTTTTGTAGTATTGGGGATTAAACTTAGATTTTTTAAAGAGGTAAAATAGGTATAGTGAGAACAAATAAACTTGGTGTAAACTCTAGCTGCTCCTTCAGAGGTCTCCCAAGTGCTGGGATTAGAGGCATGTATCACCATGCCCAGGTAGTACAAAGTCTTTAAGAAGTAAAAAATTCATCAAGGCCAGTGTAGTCTACATAGTAAATTCCAGGCCAGCCTGGGGTACAAATAGAAGAAGTAAAAATTCTTGTTACTGTTTTATATATAGTTAACCTGGTATCAGCAAATATAGTTTTCACAGGTACCTTGATATTATGCATTATAAAGAAATGTATATGTCTTTTTGTTCTATAATTGGTATCCTTTTTATCTTACATACTAAACTTTATGAATTTAATGATAGTTTCTCTAGCCCATAGGTGTCGCAGGGGTACTTTGGATGGAGAATTACATCCTTAGACAAGTACTTCATCATATGACCAACCCCCCTCCCCCTTTGGCAAAAAAGAAAAATGTATAACCTTCTGAAACTGCACAGTGCTGAAAAGTTAGTATTTTAATAAAGAGGGAAATATGGGCATGGTAGCTTACTCTGCAATCTAAGCTACTCAGATCAGATTCAAGGTCAGCACTGGCAAAAAGTTAGCAAGACCCCATCTTAAGTAATTCTGGTTTTGATGGTACACACCTTTTATCCCAGCTACATAGGAGGCTTTGATAAAAGGATCTCTGGGTGAGCCCTTCCCTAGGCAAAAATTCAGTACTGTACCTGAAAATAAAGTGTGCCTGCCAAGCATGCATTCAGCCCTGTGTTCAAACTCTAGTACTGCCAAGGGGTGGAAAAAAGAGGAAAGAGTTATTCATACGGAGACACCATGTATCATCACAGCTAGATGCTGTATTGGCGATCTAGTTCTTACTGTTCATCATAGCAACACCTCACCACTGGGAAATTGCAGCTCAGCAAGGAAAGACAATTTCCCCAAGTCATCCAACCTTACAGCTTGAGTCCCAGCCCTAGTCTGATAGCAGTTAGAGCTTGTTTGCGATAGGTTTTCTCTTTATTTAGTGTGTTGTCTTCTGGTAAAGGAAAGGAAAATGTTTTTGTGTGTAAACACATACATTACTTCTACAGATTTACTTTTCACCTCAGTGCCTTCATTTTGTCAGTAAGATCTCATGTTTATGTGAGGTTACAAACTTTGGTATGAGGGATGTTCAAATACTAGAAGGAAGTAACTCAGACTTGTTCTGGATGTGCTAGTAAACTGCTAAGCCCTTACCTGTGGGTTGAACAAAAGCTGTTTGCCTGGGTCCCTCCTGCCAGTCCTGTGTCTGAATGCCAGGTTTTTTGTTTGTTTGTTTTGGGCATTATTGGGGTTTGAACTCAGAGTCTCACACTTGCTAGGCAGGGGTTCTGAATGTTAGATTTTTTGATTCCTGCAGGAGGCAGCCTTCTGTGTTGTGATTCTTGTCCTGCTGCGTTCCATCGTGAATGCCTAAACATTGATATCCCTGAAGGAAATTGGTATTGCAATGACTGTAAGGCAGGCAAAAAGCCACACTACAGGGAGATTGTCTGGGTAAAGGTTGGACGATACAGGTGAGTAAGCATGAAAAAGAACAGCACTTCTTTTACTGTCCTCTTTTTCTGTGGATCTCTCAGATATAGTGCTTAACTTTTAAAAAGAAAAATGGTCTTTCTGGTTAGGCACAGTATCTCCACCCAATTAGTTTTTCCTTGTATCAAACAACTAACTATTAACTGCAGTCATGCAAATATGTGTACTCTGTAAAAAATTCATTGATGAAAACAAACCCATAATTTCACAAACAAGAAAGACACATTGCTAATATTTCAGCATATTTACTTGCAGACACACCCAGTATATAGCAGTGCCCCTTCCCACCAAATAATTGTCCTTATATTTATACCCAGTTTTACATCTTGCTTTTTCTTTTTAACATTATTTTTATGAAACATGGAATGTAGAGAAGAATACGATAGGAATAATTTTAAAGTATTAACAAAGGCACCATAGAGTGACTATATAGTTTATGTCAGTTTATTATTTATTTATAAATAACTAGTATAGAAGCTTGGTGTGGTAGTACATGCCTGTATTCCTAGCACTGGAGTAGCTGAAGTAGGAGGCTAGCCTGGTCTATATAGTGAGATCCTGTCTTAGCACAAATAAATAAGCAAACAATCAAAAAAGAACTAGTAGAGAAGAATTTGAAGATTACTAAAACAAATGATCTATACATGAGGACGTAAAAATGCAAATTACCTTGATTAGATAACCTACTGTTGTATGTATGTATTGAATTACTATACTGTGTGCCATAAATATATACATATCTTATATTTCAACAAAATTTATTGATAAAAATGAATAATATAGCCAGTATGAGGCCCTGAATTCAAATGCTAGTACTGAGGCAACCCACTTGGGACCTCTCCCTTCCTGTGGGAGCTTCCATTTTTTTTTCTTAATAAGCCTTCCTACCTCTATGCTCAAAAAACCAAAAATAATAATTAAAAAACAACAAAAGGAACTCCTAATTAAAACAGAGTGTGAGAGAGAGAGGATTACTGTGCATTTAATCCCTTATCTTTGCCCCAAAAGTAAATGCTATCTACTGAATTTTGAGTTTTCCATTCCTTTCTCTTGCTAAAGACTTAATGCTTTGTTTTTCATGTTGTAGACTGTTGTACAGTTGAATACTGTTGGTACAGTGTCCTGCAAGTTGCTTTTTTTCATTCATTTTTATGCCCTGAGATTCACTTTAGTTAGTGTAGTACTCTGTAGAATAAACTAGTTTGGTAGGATTTTCCAGCTTTAATAGCTAATACCAAATAATCTCCCTGAAGTGGTTATAGTTACTCTTGTTGTGCTTTTTGGTTCATTTGTTTTTTGTGGTACTGGGGATTGAATCCAGGGCATCTCAGGTGCTAGGCAAGCCAAACCCCTATCCCTTTTGTTTTCTATTTTGTTTTTGAGATAGGATCTCACTAACTTTGCCTGGGTTAAATGGTATCATTTTTTAGTAATCTTAATAATGATTGGAATTAACCTTCTTAAAAATAAACTTGTATTTCAGTGTCTTCTGTACCATGGCTACTATTGTAATTCCCTTGATGTTGAGCATTCATTTTTTTCCACTTTTCATTTTTACAGATAATTCTTAAATGAACATTGTAGTAATAAATGTTTGTTTTTATCTTTTTCTTTTAATAGATTCAAATAACTAAACTAAGGGCATTTGTATATGTTTATGAGTTTGGCAGTTATTTCAGGTTTCCAATATATACTATTTGTTTGTGCTCTAGTTAGGTTGTAAAAATGCTTCTGAGGGGAAGAAGATTGCCCCAGTGCTATACTTTATTGTTTAGACATACATTGCTAACTTTTTAAAATTTGTGTAGACTTTTATTTTATACACATAGGAGGATGTTTGATCATGGGATGTGCTTCTTCATAACCTACACATGGTCAGCAATTAAAATAGAATTTCTCTAATTTCTAAAATATAAAGTATTCAAGGTAGAAACTTTCCCCAAATCAGTATTTGGTCTGATTGTGCAAATACTGTGCAGGACCAATGAATAGGGAAGATGAAAGAATACCCAGAGCTGATAGACATAAAGAATATAGGGAATGTAATCTATATTAATGATGTTCCAAAGTTTTAAGTAAGATAAAATACTTTCTTACAAGTTCTACTGAACCTAATTAGGAATTATTCTCTAATAAATTCTTTTAAACATTTTCTTAAACAAGTAGCATCTGTGGGAGATATTGGCAGGCACAAGCTCTTACTCTTTATTCTTGAGAACTGCAGTCACTAAGCAGACTGAGCAATCATTTAGGAAATGATGAGTTGTTCATGAGCGTTTTCTTCTAACGTACTCTTTTGCTTCCACCATGTTGCCACCTTCATTGCTATTTCTTCCTGCCTTGAGTAAGTTATTTTTCTAGTGCCTTGCAACATTCTAGAAGTTTCTTCCCCTGTTCATACCTTTTACAGGTGGTGGCCAGCTGAGATCTGCCATCCTCGAGCTGTTCCTTCCAACATTGATAAAATGAGACATGATGTTGGCGAGTTCCCTGTCCTCTTCTTTGGATCTAATGATTATCTGTGGACTCATCAGGCCCGAGTGTTCCCTTACATGGAAGGGGATGTGAGCAGCAAGGATAAAATGGGCAAAGGAGTGGATGGGACATATAAAAAAGGTAGCTTTGTCTTCAGAATGAGAGTGATGTCCATAGGGAATACATTTAACAATGATATTGTTTGAACCCCATGTTATTTTACTGGGTCCTTACTTAACTATTTATTATGTGCTTTCTGTGCAGATACATGGACTATTAGGGCTAATATTACAGGCGCTTAGGTCTTGAGTCTTGTAATCTCAGGTGGTCAGTGACCACATGACGAACATCTTGGCTTGCACAGAATCGGACATCACCAAGGCTAGGGGTAGAAAGTATAGAGTGTGGGGAAGGCCATGAGTCTGAGCCTGCTGGGATTTTGTCATTTCTCTGCATAGACCAGGGTCTTTCTAAGTGCCTCTACTTTGTAGGAACACAGATTTTTGTGGGAGACTCTGACATAGATAACAGCAGTCAAAATGCCATTCAGTGACCATTGTGACAGACACATATATGCTATACTGAGCAAGAGCAAGCATGGGTAGGCTGGGGAATGACGTTTGGAGGTCATGGATGGCTTACTTCTTAAGTGATACTTTGAAGAATAAATCATAATAATAATAGTAGTTACCACTTACTGCTCTCTATGCTTTGATTAGTGTTTGTTTTCTGCTTATGTTTATAAACATAAACGTTCTTAGGGCAACTTTTATCAGGTAGATACTAACCTGATCTTATAGATGAAGACTTGGGTACATAAAAATGACATTATTTGCCTAAGGTCCATCTGGTATAGAAGAAGGCTTCTGGATCCAGTGGTTGGAATCCAGAATCCAAATTCGGAATCCCTATAATGACTGAAGAAAGGAAGGTCCTTACATGTTGTATCTAGAAGACAGCACATAAGCAGATGTTGAATTTAGCTTGCTGAGTTAGCAGTGTCCAACTGTGATATGGTACAGTTTAATCACAGGGTTGAGGGAGCACTAGCCTGGTACATTACATGGTAAGAGCAGAGATTTAGAAACCTCATGTGCTACTGAGTGTTGTAACCATTAGAAAGTGAGAAGCTACAGCTGGTGAGGTCAGTGAGCTCTCTGTTCTTAGTAGTTTTGGGAAGAGTAGATGAGACTGTATCTATGACATAGATATGACAAAGGATACTAGGTAGACATTCTGGAGATAGACTGGGCAGAATATGCTGAATAATAGCGTGAGGGAAGGATGAATGTTCAGATTATTGAGCATAGTTCATGTAACACACACACTGCTCAGTGTGACAGGGAATAAGGAGTGGGTTAGAGGGGAGGTGTTCTTTAAAGGGCTGGTGGAATGGCTCAAGCACAAGGCCCAGAGTTCAAATCCCAGTTCTGCCCTCTCACCTCCACCTCCACCCCTAAAAAAGAATTTAGGAAGCATGAAGAAAGCTACAGAAAGGAAAGGCATGTGAATTGGAATTCTCAGAATTTTTAACCTGGGCAAAGAGTCTGCAGTGAGTAATTAAAGAATTAAAAAAACAGTCAGGTACTCTAGGGAATAGACGAGGAAAGGAGAACTTCTGCAAAAAACAAGCAGGTTGTGAAGGGTGTGGTGAAAATGTAGTGGTTCTGGAAGTAGAGTTTGAGGACTGAGTAAGGAGTGGAGTAGATAAAGACTATTTGTTAGCAAAGCAGGTATCTGAGCTTTTTCTTGTGATTTAGCTGTGTTTTTGTTTTTTTTCTCTGATAGATTGTGTTGTTTGAATACTTTTTGGATTGTATAATCCATTGAAAATAGGTGTCAAATGTGTTCTTGATTTTTCTTCAGTGTTTTTTTTTTGTCTAATACTTTAGATTTTCTTTAACCTTAAAAGTGGAAAAACGCAGAACTCCACCTAGAGATTTTTTTTTAACTGACTTGTGCTTTGTGTTTTCTCAGCTCTTCAGGAAGCTGCAGCAAGGTTTGAAGAATTAAAGGCCCAAAAGGAGCTAAGGCAGCTGCAGGAAGATCGTAAGAATGACAAGAAGCCACCCCCTTATAAACATATAAAGGTAAGACCATCTCTTGTAGAACCCTACTAGCTAGTTCTCTTCCCACTTAGCTCATGATGGGAATGGCAAGCACAAGCAAAGTTGCTTTGAACCAGAGGTCAGAGCATAAAAGAAGTAAAGTATCTGAGTACCATTTCTAGCACAGTGCACGCACTTAGAAAAGTGAACCAACCGTGCATTGAAACAGTAATTTTTGCCTTGGAATGTTACCTCAGGTAAGTGGTTAGATGCCATTCACTGCAAAAAGTAACCAAAGAACCATGATGAAAAATGGTAAATGACCCTGAGATAGAGAGCTTAAAACCATGTTAATTGTTTTTGGTAATGGCAAATGCTGAGCTAAAATAGGTGGCTGGTATGGGTCGGATTTCCAAGGTCAGAAAAATATGGTTTTTTGTGGGGAGGTGATTCATGGCTGGTGCTTGAGCTCGGGCTACATCTTGAGCCACTCCACCAGCCCTTTTTTGTGATAGGGTTTTTTTAGTATAGGGTCTCATGAACTATTTGCCAGGGCTGTCTTAACTGCCATCCTTCTGATCTCTGTCTTCCTGAGTAGCTAGGATTACAGGCATGAGCCACTGGCACCCAGCTCAGAAGAATTATTGTGGGGTGTATGTAACCTTCACTTTGCCTGGTAACATAGCCAGGCATCATCTATCTTGGTACAGAGGACCCTTTGTATTTTTCATTGTTTTCAATTAATTTATATGAATGATTAAAAGTAAAAATAAAACAATAGTGAAGAAGGCCTGCCTAGCAAGAGACCTTGAGTTCAAACTCCGTAAAGTGAGGAAATTTTATTAGAAATTTGGGTATTCACTAAAACCTGTACAAACTTCTTTAACAGTAAGTTAACTTCAGTGCTCAGACATACAATATTTTGAGAAACCACCACATAGTTCTCTGAAGTAGTTGTACCCATTTATAAACCACTGGCAGGCTATCAAAGTTTGAGTTGTTCCATCTTTTTACTAGCATTTGATTTGTTGGTGTTTGTTTATTATTTATTTATTATTCATTTATGGTGGTGGGGTTTGAACTTTCAGGGTCTTATGCTTGCTTCTCAGGTGCTCTTTCTCTTTGGCCACACCTGTAGCCCAAAGTGTAATTTTCTATGCCGATTTCATTCTTTAGTCTTATTATTTTATTGGTTTTCAGTAGAATTGGTGGGCAACAGTGTGGTAATGATGAAATAATAAAATTTTATAAACTACTGGAAAAATAATAAACTAAACTAAATTAAAAAATAAAATTTCATATGTCTTAAATTTATTAAAGGGTCTAACTTAGCTGGATGTGGTGGGGCATGCCTTTAATTCCATTTACTGCAGGAGGATTACCAGTTGGAGGCCAGTCTGGGCAAAGTTTAGCCAGACCCTATCCCACAAACAAAAGGGTTGGACAGTATCACTTAAGTGATAGTGAGCTTGCCTTGCAAGTGTGAGACCCTTGTTTAATCCCCATTATCACCAGAAGGACAAACACCAATTTATGAACCTACATGGTGGTTACAAGATGGAATGAGTTCTGTTCTCTTTAAATAATTAAGGTTCTTTTACTTTCTTTCAGTAAAATGGCTGAATTTTCTTTGGATGGCTTCTCAGAAGGAATAAATGTCACAAAACATAAGTCCTTACAAGTAAAATTGCTTAAAGGAAAATTCTCAAATGGAGTCTGAGTGGTGCTGGTGTTTATTCTGCATCTTGACATACACATGTGTATATTTTATTCTCACAATTCTTAAAATTGAAGTAATTACTACACAGTTCCTGAATAGTCTAATTTATTAAATCTTTGAAGACCCAATTTGACTGTTCCCACTGAAATATCTGTTTTCTTTAAAATTATTCATAGTATCTATAAAAGCTTATATGACCTTTCTCAAAAAAAAAAAAGAGGCCAGGCATTGGTGATGTACACGTCATCCCAGCTATTCTGGAGGCAGAGGAAGGAAGATCAAGGCAAACCCTGGCAAAGTTAGCTTGACACCCTGTGTGAAAATCAAACTAAAAGCAAAAGATATGCAGCTGTGGCTCAAGTGGTAAGAGGCGCTGAGTTGGATCCCCAGTATTGAAAATCAAAAAAAAAGCCCTCACATGAATGGCTTTGGTGTCACATCTGCTCTCTGACCTTCAGGTTTTACCACTACTACATAAATGTATGAGTGACATTGCTATAGTGTTTTAAAAAGATTTGGAACTAAGATAGTAGGTTTTAAAATACATCTTGACATACATGAATTCACATTACCCAAAGATGACAAACAGGTCCCTCTTAAGATTTTTTCATTTATTAGCTGAAGTGGTACCATTATGTGGCAATAGCAGAAAGCCGGTTTGCAATTCTCTTGGCTTACCAGCTTTGAAATTGGTCTTTGTTTTGTTTTGTTGGTGGGACTGGGGTTTGAACTGAAGGCTTTGCAGTTATAAAAGCAGGTCCTCTCTTGCTTGAGCCACTCCTCCAGTCCACTGTGCTGTCCTTATTTTGGAAATTGGGTGAGGGTGGTTTGGTGACGGGAGGAGTCCTCCTGAACTATTTGTCCGGGCTGGCCTCAAGCCACTATCTTCCCGATCTCAGCCTCCCAAGTAGCTAAGATTATAGACAAGAGCCAAGAATTTTTTTTTTTTTTTTTAGCATTGTGAGATTCACATTTTCTGTGCTAAGTGAGACTGTATTTATATCTGACTTCCTAAATCTTTTTCTTTGGTGCTAAAGCTCAAACTTAAGGGCCTCATGACTTACATTTGAGCTACGTCCCACTTCTTTGTTTTTTTGTGTGTGATGGTACTGGGATTTGATCTTGGGGCTTTGAGCTTCCTAGGCAGGTGCTCTACTACTTGAGCTATATCTCCAGCCCTTCTTATTCTGATTATTTTGGAGATAGGGTCTCGCTTTTGCCCTAGCTGTCCTATCAAGGTTCTCCTATTTTAGTCTTCCTGCCATAGCTGGGATGACAGGGCACTGGTGCCCAGCTTCTTTGTAAAGGGTGTGTGTGTGTGTGTGTGTGTGTGTGTGTGTGTGTGTGTAGTTACACAGGCCAAACTGTCTACATTGTAATTGATTAAAATCATCTAACATGTGGCATAAACTTTACAGAAATTTGCCTGTTGGGCACCAGTGACTCACACCTGTAATCCTAGCTACATGGGAGGCAGAGATCAAGTGGGCCACAGTTCAAGACCAGCCCAGGCAAATAATTCAAAAGGCCCTATCGTGAAGATAAGCAACACGAAAAACAGGGTTCTGACAGAGTTGCTCAAATGGTAACGCACCTGCCTAGCAAACGTGAAGTCCAGAGTTCAAACTCCAGTACCACAAAAGAAAAACAAAAAGCCCATTAAAAGTCCTACATTGCCTTACAAATTGTCTGATTTATACTACTTGTGTGCTTCTTCTCCAGGTGAACCGTCCTATTGGGAGGGTACAGATTTTTACTGCAGACTTGTCAGAAATTCCCCGATGCAATTGTAAAGCTACTGATGAGAACCCCTGCGGAATAGACTCCGAGTGCATCAACCGTATGCTGCTCTATGAGTGCCACCCTACAGTGTGTCCTGCTGGAGGACGCTGTCAGAACCAGTGCTTCAGCAAGCGCCAGTATCCAGAGGTTGAAATTTTCCGCACTTTACAGAGAGGCTGGGGTCTACGGACAAAAACAGATATTAAAAAGGTGAAGAGAACTCTTCTTAATTACCAGGTTTTTCTTATTCTCTTCTATTTCACTTTTTAGATTGCTTGATGGATGTCAGAAAATTCATCATAGAGGACAGCAACACAGTTTAGGGATGAACCTTACTTACATTGTTTCTTGTCATCTCCTTCCAGGGTTTAGAGGCTTGAAGATGACAATGTCCTTACTCTCAAAAGTCCTTCTATTGATCAAGTTCACTATGGATAATGGAAAGGAAAATTTTTATAAATCCTGTGACATTATATGTTCTTTTTGAGAAAATACTAGAATCAGTTAAAGTAAGAAAGATACTGAACACATGAAACAAATGTTTATTCCCTTTTTTTCTGATAATACTGGGGAAAATCAGGGCCTCACACTTCCTAGGCAAGCACTTTACCACTTCAGCCAGTCCACCAGCCCTCTTTTGTGTTGAATATTTTCAAGATAGGATCTGGATTTCTAGGCTGGCCTTGAACTGTAATCCTCTCAATCTCTGCCTCCCAGGTAGCTAGAATTGCAGGCATGAATCACCTGCACCCAGCTGTTTATTACCTTTTAATAAAATAGTTTAGTGACGAAAAACAGGATTTCTAGAACATGAAGGAAAATAATAGTGTTACACCTTTTCTAATGAAATTACAGTGACAGCTTCAACTTGAAATTTGGCAAGATCTTTAGGTTTCTCATAAACACAATATTGTAATTCTTACTGTAAAGTAAAACGTTTAACATTTTAATAAAATAAGCATTCTCTATTTATAATTTATGGAGAACTTTATTGAATTTTCTAAGAAAATATCATTATGAGCTGGACTATTTAGATAAAGATGGGTGTTTTTTGTTGTTGTTGTTGTTTGTTTGCATATGCTAGACATGTGCTATACCACTTGAGCCATACTTGCAGTCCTTTTGTAGTTTGTTGTTGAGATTTACCTAGATTGCCCTCAAACTCAGTATCCTCCTGCCTCTGCCTCTCAAGCATCTGGGCCTTCAGATGTGCCTCAGTTAGTTATTTATATCTGTTTGCCAGGCACAGGGTGGGAGATAGTAATCAAAAAGAGAGAGATGGTCCATGCTTAATAGTTTACAGTATTCTAGAGGGTGGACAGACACAGAAAAAAAAATAAGCACCCAGCGTTAAGCACATGGCTCTGGAGGCATGTGGCAAAGGACCTCAGATTAGCTTGTGTCTGAGGATATTTTCAGTAGGGTCTTAGAAAAGGAGTAGTTTTTGGCTAAGGCATGATTAGCATTAAAGCCTTGCAGATAAGAGACATTGTGTGTAAAAGCAAGTATGACTGTACTGTAGTGAGTAGAGTTTACATTCCAATGTAATGTGAATGGACAGCAGGCAGGCAAGTTCTAAGAAACATGAAATGGTTTCACAAGACTGGCTTTTATGTCCTTGGGCAGGTAAAGATATTGGTAATCTATCTCCCCATTATAAAGAAACTTGAGTTTACTTATCAGTCTTCCTTTCATTCTGGTGGAACTTTAGTGTTCAGGATATCCTTTTTTTTTTAAACTGATGATGGTGGTAGGAGTGTGGAGATAGTTTTCTTTATGCAATAGTTGAGGCCTCATAAAAATAATTACATGCACATAAAATGACATGGACACTATCTACTTTGGACAATGTGTTTTCATTAGGATTTTTTCTAATTAATTTTTAAAATAAAAAGTGTATATATGCACCACTGTGCTTTTGCTATTGAGTCAGGAGCTCTTTCTTGTTCTAGGGTGAATTTGTGAATGAGTATGTGGGTGAGCTGATAGACGAAGAGGAGTGCAGAGCTCGAATCCGTTATGCCCAAGAACATGATATCACTAATTTCTATATGCTCACTCTAGATAAAGTAAGTAATGCAATGTGTTCTCTCCATTCTTGTGAGATGGTGACATTTCTGTCGTCTCTGCCATGTTTGCAGGCATGACATCTAGATTTGACCCATGCCCAAAGCTGGGTCTTACTCCATATTCATGGATACTGGAATAGTGAGAATGCTTATTTCTGGTTGTATGTCCACGGCCAAAGGAAACAAAGCTGCTTTTGCCATTCTTTGTGAATGATACAATGTAAGCTGGGAATTTTATCTTTTACAGTGTTATTCTTGTAGGATTAAATTTTCAAGATAGAAAAGTAATCATTTTTTACCCTTTATTTTACTTACTGTGAAACTAGTTTTAATATTTAAAAATCGTGCATTGCGAAAGTCATGTAAATTGATTATAGTACTCAAAAACTTGTCATTTTCCCAAATATAGAAATTTTTTTCTGGTGGTACTGGGATTTGAACTCAGGGCTTCACGATTACTAGACAAGCTCTGTACTTGTCTAACTCCACCAGCTTGAACTCAGGGCCTTCACCTTGAGCCACTCCACCAGCCCTTTTTTTGTGAAGGGTTTTTCGAGATAGGGTATCATGAACTATTTGCCCTGGGTTGACTTTCAATCATGATTGTTGTGAGTAGCTAGGATTACAGGCATGAGCCAAATGTACCCAGCCCACCAGCCCGTTTTGTGTTAGGTACTTTCAAGATAGGGTACTGCAACCTATTTGCCCAGGCTGTCTACAAACCACAATCCTTCTGATTTCTGCATCCCCGCAATTAGATTTTGGTTTTTGGGGGTTTTTTTCTTGTTGTACGGAAGTTGGAACTCAAGTCCTCCCACTTGTTAGGCAGACACTGTACCAATTGAGGCACATCACAAGTGCCTAGACATTTTTTTGTGTGCTTACTTTCATTATTGCTTGGAGTTGCATTTTGGAATTAATTTCTAATTTCAGTATTCTTGTGTGTTTATTTTTCTGTGTCTGCAATTTCTCCTTGAACTTGAATATTAGGTTCCACTAATGTGTTTTGAGTTGTGGTATTTCTGTTATTCTACCTACTGGTCCTCCATACACACACACACACTCTCACCACACACTTTTCCCATATGCAGATTTAACCCAGGGCCTCACACTTACCAGGCACTCTACCACTGAACTATGTACCTAGCCTGTTTTTATTTTATTTTGAAAATGGATTCACTAAGTTTCCCAGGCTTGCCTGGAAATTGCCGTCCTCCTGCCTCAGCCTCTCTAGTAGTTGGGATTACAGGTGGACCCTATCCACTAGCTTTTGTTTTGGTGTTGGGGCAGCAGGGGTGGTGGTGGTACTGGGGCTTGACTCAGGGCCTCATCCTTGCTAGGCAAGCACTCTACCACTTGAGTTCTGCCTTTTGTTTTGTTTTGGGTATTTTTGAGATAGGGTCCTGCTTTTTTTTTTTTTTGCCCAGGCTGGCCTCAAACCTCAATCCTCCTGATCTCTGCTTCTTGAGTAGCTAGGATTACAGGTGGAAGCCCACCAGTACCCAGATCTTCATTGGCTTTTATAATAATCCTCTTCCTGGTATTTGGTTTTGTAAATATTTCTTTTTATATTAAAAGTTTATTAGGGAAGGAGTACACTTTCTCTATTTTTTTTTCCCTTATTTTTTGGGGGAAGAGCAGTACTGGGATTTGAACTCAGGACCTTGCCCTTGGTACACAGGTGCTCCACCACCTGAGCCATGCCCCCAGCTTAGGAATATTACTTTCAGTAGACTGAAAGCAGGTCTTCTCTAGAGTGAGAACAAGAACAACATGTAGACATTTCTTAAGTTACAGTCTTTATTCATTTGTTTGGTAATAGTTGGGTTTGAATTCAGGGCCTTTGTACCAGTGAAGCCACATACCCAGCCCTTTTTTGCTTTTATTTATGTTTCAGATGGGGTTTTACTTTTGCCTGTTCTGACCTTGGACCATTACCAATAACAGAGGTCTCAGCAAGTCTGACAAGCAGGTTTTCTTGTAATTCTAGGATCGAATCATTGATGCTGGTCCCAAAGGAAACTTTGCTCGGTTCATGAATCATTGCTGCCAGCCCAATTGTGAAACACAGAAGTGGTCTGTTAATGGAGATACTCGTGTTGGCCTTTTTGCCTTGAGTGACATTAAAGCAGGTAAGAGTCATTTAAGAATTTTGAAGCTAAGGTCTGAATCTTAGCTTTTATTTTTTAAAACTCTTACATGTCTTATACTTCAAAATGAAGTCAAATTCCTGAGGATACATAAAGCTTTACAGGTAGTACTTTAGGCATGGCTTTTTTTTTCCTGGTAAAATTCAACTGTTCTAATCATTTAGTTTTAATGTGTTACTCACATTGCTGTACAATCATCACCATCATCCATCCCCAGTACTTTTTTTTGGAGGGGGGAGATACTGGGGATTGAACCTCAGGGCCTATACCTTGAGCCACTCCACCAGCCCTGTTTTTGTGTTGGGGTATTTTGAGATAGGGATTCACAAAGTATTTGCCCAGGCTGGCTTTGAACTGCCGTTCTCCTGGTATCTGCCTCCTGAGTAGCTAGGATTACAGGGGTGAGCCACCCATGCCAGGCTGCCCAGTACTCTTTATCATCTTCTGAAACTTTTTCCTAATCTCACTCTCCTCATTACCACCTCACAACCCCTGGTAACCTCCATTTTACTTTCTGTCCCTGAATGACTTCATGTAAATTGAATCATAAAATACTTGTCCTTTTGTGTCTGGCTCATTTAAGGTTAGCATTGATGGTTTTAAGAGAATAAATTTCCAGGGCTTTAACTTTGATGTGAACCGGGCTGGTGGAGTGGCTCAAGCGGTAAGAGCACCTGCCTAGCAAGTGTGAGGCCCTGAGTTCAAACCCCAGTGCCACCAAAAAAAAAAAAAGGAAAACTTTGATGTGAACCATCTCAGAAATTTACCTGCCTTAGAAGATTCAAGCTCTCTCCAGATGATCATTGAGAAGCAAATTAAAAAAAAAAATAGTTCCAAGTACCACAACTGTAACAGAACTTTGCTGTTTTCTGTGGTTTTGTTTTTACTTTATTTAATGGAATGTGCTGGATGTTTCTGCAATTTTGTTCAAATGACTGCAGAACCTGGAAAAGCTATTGCTGCTATTGATGCATAACATACTGCTATTATTGGTCTTTTTATGTAAGTATATAATATATGCATGTGTATACATACATATGTGTGTGTGTGTGTGTATATATATATATATATGTAAAATTTGAATTTTTGGAAACATTAGCTGTGCTGTCAGCTTTGGAGAAACTATCCCAGTTTATATCATATTGAGTTGGCACTGTACAGAAATTAATAGCCTTTTCTACGAATGTTAAACTTAATTTTTTTTCATTTGTACAGGTTAACACACTGTATTAAATATGTACAGTCTTACCTACATGGGTTTGATTACAGAAACTAATAAATTAGTCTCTAATTAATGAGAAAAAAAATGACTACCAGCTCTCCCAATCTCCTTTTTTACCTTCTCTTCCACATTTGTCCTTTCTTACTATATAAACCAGAGGTTCCACCTCCAAATCTTGGGAGTTTTAGAGGTTGTGTGTCCCCCCAACCTCTTTTTTGTGTGTGTGTATATGTGTATTGTTGGGGATCAAATGTGGGGCCTTATGCATGCTGAGCAGGTGCTTTATCACTGAGATACACCTACAGCCCTCAAGGTTATATTCAAAATCAATCCCTTACCTTTGAGACACCAAAGAACTGGAGCTTGAGAGACTACATAGCTCTCTCCTGGTCTGTCTGGCACCAGTTCTCTGTGAGTTAGAATGCTTCAGTGAGATCACTGTAACCAGTACAAATACTGAGATAGACAACCTTAGGAGGAAGGATTTATTTTGGCTTGTGGTTTCAAAGGTTTTACTCCATGGTCTCTTGTGTAAAGTTTATAAATTGTTAAATGTACAGAAAGCACCTGCTTTTTCAAAATAAATTGTGCCAGGCACATGAGTAAAACAGGTGAAGATCATTCTACTGAACTAAGATGAGATTGGACTAGGTAATTTATAATTGACGATAGTATGGTCCAATTATTAAAGCAAAAATCCCATGAGCATTCAGGAAGAATTCTCAAGTTCTCCTTTGCTCAGTCAGGGTTGTTGACCTCCAGGAGCATTAATTAAAGAATTACAAAGCAATTTGTGTCAGGTTTGGTACCAAACACTGTAATCTCTGCACTTAAAGAGGTTAAGGTGGCATTCAGGAGGCTAAGGCCAAGGTGAACTGAGGGCCCCATGCTTGCTAAGCAGGCATGACACCATTGAATTATGGCCCTCGCCCCTGAATAAGGTTTTTTTGTGTGTACTTTTTTTTTTGAATTAAGCTAATATAATTTGAATCTAAATGATTGGCGGGGTAGAGGGGAGGTCTGTATAGTGGCTGGGCACCAGTGGCTCATGTCTATAATCCTAGCTACTTGGGAAGCTGATATCAGGAGGATCATGGTTTGAGGCCATCCCAGGCTAGTAGTTCCCAATACTCCATCTCCAAAATAACTAGAGCAAAATGGGCTGGAGGCGTGGCTCAAGTGGTAAAATACATGCTTTGCAAGTATGAAGCCCTGAGTTCAAATCTCATTCCCATAAAAAAAAAAATCTCACCAGGCACTGATGGCTCATGCTTCTAATCCTAGCTACTCAGGAGGCAGAGATCAGGAGGGTCATGGTTCAAAGCCAGTCTTAGCAAATAGTTCTGTGACCCAATTTTGAAAAAAACCCTTCACAAAGTAAAAGGGTTCGTGGAGTGGCTCAAGGTGTAGGCCCTGAGTTTAAACCCCAGTACTGCCCCCCACCCGCCAAAAAAAACCTCTATAGTAAAGATTATTTTAGATATAACTTGTTAAACCTTTACATTTTTCTGTTAATAAATTGTATTAACTTCCTAATAATGTTGTAGGATTAGAAATCTGTTGAATTGGAACTTAAAATTCTTTGTAATTAATAAAACTAAAACCATAGCTATTAATATTTTCATGGTCTCTTACGCAGGCACTGAACTTACCTTCAATTATAACCTAGAATGTCTTGGGAATGGAAAGACTGTTTGCAAGTGTGGAGCACCAAACTGCAGTGGCTTCTTGGGTGTGAGGCCAAAGGTACCACCTTCCAGATTTTTGCATTTGGAGTAATGGTGTGTTACTCCCTTCCTTACACTATTAATACTGAGTTTACATTTTAAGTAGGTACTTCTCTGAAGTAATGACATTGAATAGGTGTCAGTAGTGTTAGTGGCAACTTATTGAGCATTTCTGATGATCCTTTTGGTTACACAGATGATCTTTGGGTATTGCTGAAGTGTTTTGAGCACTCACTTCAGTTGATGATAACTTTTCTAGTCAAAAGAACTGTAAAATAGGGCAGGGCCTATGCCTGTAATCTCAGCTACCCAGGAGTCAAAGATATTAGGGACTTCGTTCCATGCCAGCCCACGCAAAATGTTAGACTATCCACATCTCAACAAATACACTGGGCTTGGTGGCCCACACCTGTGGTCTCAGCTACATGGGAGTCCATAGGTAGGTGGATTGTGGTACAGGCCAGTCTGGGCAAAAATGTGAAATCCTATCTAAAAACAAAAGCTATAGGACTGGAGGTGTGTCTTAACATGTTAGAAAGCCCTGAGTTCAAACCCCAGTCCCACAAAAAAAAAAAAAAAAAGTCAACCCTGAAACATGTTAATTGGTATAAGAATGAATAAGAAGAAAGTCATTTTGAGCAGCAGTATGTGAAAATGAAGAACAAAATTTTCTCACTGGGTTTTGTTTAGTTCGTTGCTTAAATGATCTTGTATGTTAAGATCTCAGCTGACTTAACTGTTAAGTTAAAATAGAAATCTGAGGCATTTCACGGATGAACCAGTGAGAGAGATAGATTCCAAACCACGAGTTTAAAAATGAGAGATAATTGGCCAGGTGCTGGTGGCTTACTCCTCTTTTCCTAGCCACTCACAAAGCAAGATCAGGAGGATCGTGGTTCAAAGCCAGCCCAGTCAAATAGTTTGAGAGACCCTATCAAAGAAAACCCATCACAAAAAATAGGGCTGGAGGAGTGTCTCCAGGTGTAGGCCCTGAGTTCAAGCCCAGTACTGAAAAACAAAACTAAAAAAAAGAATGAGACATCACTAGTGAAGGTCAGCCATGATAGTAAGGACCTTAATTAAGCCTTATTGATAGGTTGTTGTTATTTGTAGTCTGTAATGAACAATGTAATGAAAACATGGGCTTGGTGAGCACATACAGACTGGAGAGAAAACTTCTGGCTACACCAGAGTCTATCTTGGAAGTTGTAAACATTGACCTAATGTGACCTAAACATACTTAGCCTTCTTGAGGAATTAATTGTCTTTCTAACACAGTACTGCTCAGTGAAGGTTTGTAGAATCAATTAAGAAATGTACATAGAGTAGTTTTAAAGTAGACAAACATGCAATTAAAAGTTAGTGCTCACTTCAACACATATACTAAAATTGAAATGATAGAACAGTTGCATGGGTGCTTTCGTAAGGATGGATATGCAAATTCAGGAAAAATTCCTTTTTTTTAAGTTAATGATCTTTTAGCCAGGTACCAGTGGCTCATGCCTGTAATCCTGGTTACTCAGGAGGCAGAGATCAGAAGGATTGCAGTTCAAAGCCAGCCCAGGCAAATTGTTTCTGAGACCCTATCTCCCAACATAAAAATGGCTGGTGGAGTGGCTCAAGTGATATAGCGTGCCTGCCTAGCAAGCATGAGGCCCTGTTTAAACACCAGTACCACTAAAAAAAGAAAAAAAAGTTAATTAGCTTTTGCTGCTGCTGCTTCTGGGAAAAACATTTTAAAAAGTTAGGCAATTAGTGACCATTAACCCTAGCCTTATGTGTTAATAACAAAAAGCATATTTTTACTATTACTTCATTCAGGGGGAAAGAGGAGTTGATACAAAAGTGGTAATTAGCTAGGGTTTGTTGGCACACACCTATAATTCCAGTACTGGAAAGTTAGGCAGGAAGATCACAAGTTCTAAGATGAGGGAAGAGGGGGTCTCAAAGAAGTGTTACATACATGCAGTGGTGGGGCCTATGGCACAAGAATAGAGGCAACTAAAAGACTGATTAAAGCCCAAAACTGGAATAATTTGATGAAGAAAATAAAGTAGTACAATATTTAGTAAAGCAGGCAGGCCATCTGGGGGTTTATCTTTGCAACAGTCTATGAGAGTATACTGTTTTCCCAAAGGAAAAATTAAGACTCTGAGAGGATAATCTGGTCAAGATTATACAGTAACAATGGTGTTGACAGAATATTGACTGTTCAATATCTGACCTTTAGAATCAACCCATTGCCACAGAAGAAAAGTCAAAGAAATTCAAGAAGAAACAACAGGGGAAACGCAGGAGCCAGGGCGAAATCACAAAGGAACGAGAAGACGAATGTTTCAGCTGTGGGGATGCTGGTCAGCTCGTCTCCTGCAAGAAACCAGGCTGCCCTAAAGTTTACCATGCAGACTGTCTCAATCTGACCAAGCGACCAGCAGGTTGGTTCCAGAGTCCATTCAGAGTGCTCCTTGTTTTCTGCCAGAATTCTCAGGGTCTGATGCCACTTGCTTCATTTTGGAGGTGTGGTTCGTGTTCCATTTCTGGAAATAAATGACAAAGGTTTAGAATCCTAGATTATAGAGAACAGAAACTTATTTGTGTCAAGTACTTTACTTCCATTTGCATTATTTCATCTTCCCACAGAAGGTTGGTTTTCTTCCCATGGTATATATAAGGAAACTGAAAATCAAGATTGGTGAGTTGAGTGGTCACAGATACACTGGATCAAAAGCCAGATTTTCTGACTCCAAGTTTACTAAATTGTGGAGCCTTTGGATTGTTCTAGTCAGTGATGCAGCCTTTTAGCCATGCCTTACCCTACTTACCTCTTGGGGTCTCCTTCCTTGCAAAGTATGCTTTTTTCTTTGAAGAAGATACAACTATATCAGTTTACCCAGAAAGCTGCTCAAATGTGTTACTCAGGAATTTGTGTTTGGAGAAGTAGATAACCTTTATGCAGGTGATTTAGGGCTTTGAGGATTTGAGACATTTGGACATACTGTTTTAAAGAGAATCAGTAGGGAGCCATTCCAGTGCGAGGTGATTATAACTCACAGTGGCCTGCTTCCAAGAAGTATAGAAATCAGAGAACTTTCCTGGATTGGCTTTCCTTTAGTATGTATTTGCCAGGGTGATGAAATAATAAACTGTAGGGCAAGGCCATACATTAACATGTCAGTGCCAGGAAGTGGAAGTGGGGATTGTTTGAGAATAAGTTATTTAAGACTTGTCATAGGCACAGGCTGTGATAGAACCGACTTACCTCGCCTGTGTGCCAACAGTGAGATCTCCTATAGTTTACTTGGGGATGGAAACACTGCCTATAGTTGAGACTCTCAGATCTCATGAAATGGGTGTTACTAGATACATACTCACCTTAGCTTTGTTTTTTTCCACTGACTTTGTCTGAGTAACACAGCTTATGTTTTTTTGCTAGTTTCAGAACATTAATAGAAGCAAATATGAGCGTGTTCTCTTTTTTTTTACAATAATATATCTTTTTCCTACTCCTGTTAATAACAAAACAGGAGTGCAAATAGCTGAGTGTTCCTCTTTGAGTATTCAAAAGCTCTAGAGCTGGGTATGTTGGGGCAAGCTGGTAGTGCCAGCACTTGGCCGGTTGAGGCAGGAGAATCACTACTTCAAGCCCACCCTGGGCTACATAGTGAGACACTGTAAAAACACAAAAACAAACCAGTAAATAAATAGTATCTGGGACATTTAATTAGTCAAACTATGAAAGTGGTATTGAAACACTTCATCTAGGACTGGCTGAATGGCTCAAGTGGTAGAGTGCCTTCCTAGTAAGTGAGGAGGCCCTGAGTTCAAACCCCAGTACCACCACACAAAAAAAAAAAACTTCATCTAAAAGAAGCTTTGCGTGTGTTTGGGGATTTTTTGGTTTGTTTTTACCTTTTTGAAAAGTCACAGAGATGTAGATTTACTTTCACTTGTGTTTAGATGATAGTTGCTCAACCTTGATACTTTGCTGTTATTTTATGTATTGTTCTGTGCAGAAGAAGCACCTGAAATTCTGGGAAAGGAGTGATGTCCTTAACACTCCGAAGAAGGTGATAGTTTGAAGGGACTTTGCAGCCAGCCACTCACTCCTATAGACCAGTCCCAGAGCCATGGCCCATTTCACATACATCTATTTTCCCTAAGTTTTTGTTCACTCTTGTGTTTTCAGGGAAGTGGGAGTGTCCTTGGCATCAGTGTGATGTCTGTGGGAAGGAAGCAGCCTCCTTCTGTGAGATGTGCCCAAGTTCCTTTTGTAAACAACACCGGGAAGGGATGCTCTTCATTTCCAAGCTTGATGGGCGGCTGTCTTGTACTGAGCATGACCCCTGTGGGCCCAACCCTCTGGAACCTGGGGAGATTCGTGAGTATGTACCTCCCCCAGTGCCACTGCCTGCAAGCCCCAATACTCACCTGGCAGAGCAGTCATCAGGAACAGCTGCTCAGGGGCCCAAGATGTCAGATAAGTCACCTGCTGATGCCAACCAGACGCTGCCACTTTCCAAAAAAGCTCTGTCAGGGACTTGTCAGAGGTCATTGCTACCAGAGAGACCTCTGGAGCGAACTGGCTCTAGCTCTCAGCTTTTAGATAGAGTCAGAGACCTTGCTGTGTCAGGGACCAAATCTCAAACTAGCCAGAGGCCACTGGACAGGCCACCTGCAGTGGAAGGACCAAGACCTCAGCTATCTGATAAAACCTCTCCAGTGACTAGCCCAAGCTCCTCACCCTCAGTCAGGTCCCCACCACTGGAAAGACCTCTGGGCACGACTGACCCAAGGCTGGATAAATCCATAGGTGCTGCCAGCTCAAGGCCTCCATCACTGGAGAAAACTCAAACCCCAACTGGCCTGAGACTTCCACCACCAGATAGACTGCTAGTCACCAGCAGTCCCAAACCTCAGACTTCTGACAGACTCCAAGACAAATCCCATGCTTCTTTGTCCCAGAGACTTCCACCTCCTGAGAAAGTACTATCAGCTGTGGTCCAGACCCTGGTAGCTAAGGAAAAAGCGCTGAGGCCTGTGGACCAGAATACTCAGTCAAAAAGCAGAGCTGCTTTGGTGATGGATCTCATAGACTTAACTCCTCGCCAGAAGGAGCGGACCACTTCTCCTCATGAGGTTATACCACAGTCTGATGAGAAGATGCCAGTCCTGGAATCCAGCTCATGGTCTGCTGGCAAAGGTCTGGGGCACCTGCCACGAGCTGTGGAGAAAGGCAGTGTGTCAGATCCTCTTCTCCAGCCACCTGGGAAAGCAGCAGCCCCTTCAGAGCACCCTTGGCAAGCTGTTAAATCACTCACCCATGCCAGACTTCTTTCTCAGCCTCCTGCCAAGGCTTTTTTATATGAGCCAGCAACTCCGGCCTCAGGAAGAGCTCTTGCAGGGGCTGAGCAGACGCCTGGGCCTCCCAGCCAAGCACCAGGCCTGGTGAAGCAGGTGAAGCAGATGGCCAGAGGCCAGCAACTATCTGGACTTACCGCCAAGAGTGGGCAGTCCTTCCGGTCTCTTGGCAAGGCCCCAGCCCACCTCCCCACTGAAGAGAAGAAGCTGGTAACCACAGAACAGAGTCCCTGGGGCCTGGGAAAAGCTTCAACGGGGGCAGGGCTCTGGCCCATAGTGGCTGGACAGACTCTGGCACAATCTTGCTGGTCTGCTGGGGGTACACAGACATTGGCACAGACTTGTTGGTCTCTTGGAAGAGGGCAAGACCCCAAACCAGAGCAAAATACAGTTCAAGCTCTTAACCAGGCTCCTTCCAGTCACAAGTGTGCAGAATCAGAGCAGAAATAATACTAGTAAATGTTACATGACCAGACAAGCCGCCCCCAGGGTACCATTTGGGGAAGGGAATCTTTCTTTCTTTTTCCCCTTTGAAAAACAGATCTACCCCAACACCTTTCCACTGTTACTCTTTCCTTATACTCTTAACACTCAGAATTCTTGTGACATTAGCCAGTGTGGGCTTGTGGTTGTATGGAAATCCAGTGGGTTCCAGTCAAGGAGACAGACAGACTTGAGTCTCTTTGCCCCAACTTTTACACATGGTCAATTTAAAATAAAAAGTCCACTCTGGAGTCAAGCATGGAATTCAATTCCGCTGGTCAAGTTGGAAAGTATAGGGGCTATCAAAGCTATTTCCTCAGCCCAGCCAAACCCCATTGAGGGCACCCAATGATGAACCCTTGGGATCAAATCAGTGGCAATTTCCTGAGCATTCATGTGTACTAACTAGGCCAGGGACTAGTCACTGATGGGAAATACAGTGATCCATAAGGCCTAATCCTGTGAGCCTGACTTGCCTGCCTCTGGGTTCCCAGGCTGTTTTCAGGACCTCTGAACAGGAATCAACAGGAAGTACTGAGGGGCCCATTTTGAAATGTTTTTGTGGTACCAGAAGTGGTTGTATTGAGCAAGTGTCTCCTGGTTGGGACGTGCGTATGTGTATGTACCTGCAAAGCTCTCCTCTGTAAATGAAAGCATGCTGCCTCAAGGCCAAGGAGGGCTGTTGGCTGGGGCAGCCACTGCTGCTTCCGTGTGTGTTACACAGTCTGAAGAGTTGTCCTTGGAGCAGCTGGTTAAGAGGAGCTGGGCTCTGAGAATGTAACTTTCCAGCAGTGGACAAGAGCAATTGGCAAGCTTACCTTTCTTTTCTACCAGTTTTACTCCTTTTATGTGAACTTACCACACCCCCATTTCTTCAAAAACTCAGGTGCTTTCAGATTTCAGTCTCGGGCAGTGGACATAGGGAAATTCTGGCAAGCTAGACACACCAGCTTCAGGAAGAGTGCCAGACCCTGATAGAAAATTCTTTCTCCTGGTCTTTTAATGGAGTCTTCTTCACCTCCCTGGAAATTGCTGTGCCTACTAATTTAGCTCAAAGGCAAGCCAGAACCCTTCCCTAAGACTGGAGAAACGTGGTTGGAGCAATGTCCAGTCTAAGAGATGACTCCTCATAACTGCTGATTATCTGTTACTGCTGCCCTGAGCTGGGGCCCAAGGGCTGGGAAATCTGTTGGTGCTACCCTGCCCTACCATTTCCCCAGCTCACTGACTGCCAGCAGGAAGTGCTGTTTGGCTAGTTACCTCCCATGCACCCACCCACCCATCCACCTCTCCTTTGTCCCTAGACCAAATGTGTTTACCTCTCTGCTTTGCCAACTTAGCCAGCAGCTTTAGCCAACAGGCCATCTCTTGGCTCAAACATCTCCTGGCCTTTCTGTCTCAGTTACGGCTCCTACATCCTCAACAGGATTCTGTATTTTTGTCCCAGTTTCCTCCTCCTCAATTCCTATTGAGGTTACTCCCATCACTTCCAAGGGGGAGGAACAATAGTTGTTATAGAAGCATTTGCGCTTTATATAAAAATTGAAAATAGAATCTGCTTTTATTTCCCAAAGTCTGTCTGTGGATTTGAGACACTTGAACTCAGGCAGAGGACCGAGGCTGGTCAGGGCTGTCCCAAGTTCAGGGGCCCATCCCTGTAGTCATTAAGACTTTGGAATCTTCTGTGAATTCCACCTGCCTCGTTCTCCCTCTTCATCCTCTCTCCACATCATCGGAGAGGAACAGATTTTGTTCAAAAAAAGAAGAGCAAACACAAAGCATCTTATTTTCTTTGAAAAGAATTTTAAACCATGAGAAAGATATTTTTAAAGAAATCTACCCAGAACATTAAAGTTCACTATATTAAGTATTTATCATGTGTGAGAATAATAAGTATATAACTGCAGCTAGTAGCCCCCTTTCCTAATTTCTTAGGTTGTGTGAGTAGGTTTGCTTGGTGCCAGTCCTGTGCCCTTTGCGCTCCTGTCATCTGTAGTTGTGATCAGAAAAAGATATCTGCACTGCACTGTCAGAATCTCCTTTCACTATGTTGTGTGTTCAATTACCGTAGCTCTTTGTTTCATGAAATAAACTGTGAACTGGGGGGCGGGTGGGTTGCAGGCTATATAAAATTTTTAAGTGGAGAAGTTTGATCCTGAACTAGCTTCTCTGAAGTAAGCTTTGGTAGGTAATTGGCTTTGACAGCTGTCTGGGACAGGAGGGAGTGATGGATAGGGGGCTGTGATTGGCCACTTTGTGGTTTTTTATTCTTTACATTCTCTAAAATTCATGAAAGACTTCATTCCAGACCTGCCTGTGAAAACAACTTCTGAGATGTGTACTCTAGGGGATGGGGGGGGGAGGGGGCAGTTCTAATGGACAGCCAAGCCTCTGTCCAGGGCCACTTAAAGACCCTCAGGTTATTGGATGGAAACTAAAAATTTGAGGTATTGGACCCCCTGACAGCAGTATCTGATAGTTGAAATCATGGCAGCAATCACAGTCTGATTAGAAGCAGAGTCAGCATAACTGCTGGGATGCAACTCTGGCTCCTGTGTGACGGTGGAGAGAGGATGATCTTGAAGCCTAAACCCTCTGGGACTTTTAAAACCTATAATGACACCCTTTCTTCAAAGAGGTAAAGGAAATCTTTTATCTTAGAACTTATGATCACTGTGTGAGATGGTGTTTTAGTGTTTAGTACTTGGCTAAGTTCTTGGAAATGAGGCTCTCAAGAGAGTCTGCCCATGAGCCCAGCCCCAGGAAGCCTTTTCAAGTGGCAAGCTAAAGGTGAAAATGCGCCTAGGTAACTAGAAGACTCATACCTCTGCAGCCCTGATAAGTCAGAAAAAAGAATTATGAAAACTGTTCAAATTTGTATTTAAAGCTTCATTTGCTCCTGCTGGAGCCAACCCATTTCTAATAGGAAAAAGCTGCACTGCTATAACAGCATCCCTATTTCTAGACACTTGCTTTCCTCTGATGTTACAGTTTAAGGTGACTTAACACTGTTAATCCTCTCCTGAACCAAATCCCCATCTTTAGTATTGATAAAAAGTTATTCTTTGCATCCTCCACCCCACACTGTGGTCAGAACATGAAGTGTACTAGCAGTCATTCCCAACTTGGCACAGTCTACTCACTGGAGATGGACTCCCAGTTTGTATTGTAATATTGTCTCATGAGAACCGAGAATCAGGAAGGTTTGGTTCTGGCCCCTTCCCCATAGAGAGCAATCAGGAGAGCACTAAACTTGATGGGCTTTACTCCTTGCTCCAGTAAAATGAGCTTTCTCGTAAGACTTTTTTCTTGGGATATTGCTATCCTCCTGGGGTTTGTCATCGCGTCAGAGGGCCTAGTGTCCTAACTTTACATCACAGCAGGGAAGGAGCTGCCTGCAGCCTTTTGAGACATTTCAGGTCATTTAGAGCTAGGTAGCTGCTGTGGGAGTTCAGCTGACCTTCCTAAGCCAGTGGAGCAGGGTCAAAGGTTGCTGTGGTATAAGTTGAAATGAATAGATAATTGCTGTGTACACACAAAAAAAATGTAATGATGGTGCTAATTTCTTGGTGTAAATAAGCACTGCCAAGGGTAGAGGGACTGGTAACTTGAGAAACCCGGGTTCCTGTTTGGGAGGAAGAGATTTTATGTGGAAAGGTTTGAGACTCTGAGAGGCAGCGAGAAGGTAGAGCCTCAGTGAAACCTGTACCCAGTCCTGGAGTGTCCTAGTGCAGTCCAGATGTGGGAGACACACCATATCCAAAGGTGGCCATTGAGTTTCTCAGGGCTGGGTTCACTTTTTCCATAGCCTCCGTGTCCACAGCGCCTGGAACAGGCTGGTGGTAGCTCTGTGTGTGGCGTCTACCTCCGTCACTCTCACAAGAGCACCTCTATTGCTTATAAACATTGAGGGTGATATTTAAGGAAGTGGGGAATACATTTTAATTCAAGTCCACCTCAGATGAAATGTTTCTTTACCAACATATAAGCAGAACAGTATGTAAACTCTGGTCTTCTCCCTGGAGCTGCCTTGGTGACTTTCAGAACATGCTACTGAGAGACTCCAGGGGTAGCACCTGGGAGGCAGCACGGCTTTGTGGACAGAAGCAAACACAGGGAGCAGAGTAGAAACCAGTAGAGCTGGTGCAGGCAGAGCAGATGGTTTCCGGTCTGAGGTGATGCTGCCTTGTGTGTGTGTGTGTGTGTGTGGTGAGTGTGGAAGGTGAGTGAATGCAGCGTGCAGGAGCTCGTGGAAGAGCAGCTTTCTAGGTCTTGGCAAAGAAGCTGACAAAATAGATCTATATATTTTTAGAAAAGTGGGGTTAGGGGGTTCAGCCAAGGTCCATCATTGTTTTCCCCACTGGCCCCACATACTGTCAGCTGGAAGTGAAACTTAAGTGAAAAAGAGGGGAGCCCTGTGCTAGGAGTCCCCATAAACATGTACTGTAATTCTTTTGTATATAGAAAAAAAAAATACTGTAAAGTAAAGTTTAACTTTACTCTTATGGCCCTTGCCCTGTGTTTTATTTTATTGTCTGTGGGGAGATGTAGCCTAACACAATAGAGGATTGGTCTGGAGTGAGAGTAGGAGCCAATCAAGATAGTTCCTTGAGGAGGGTGGGCGGTGAGTGGAGCTGAGCCCTTCCTCTGAGTACTTCATGGGAGTGGCCTGGGTTTCTTCCCAGGTGCCACAGGCTGCCTGAGCATCTTCTTTCCTTGCTGTTGGAAATGGCTGTTACCAGTTTCGGTCCCTTTCACAGGAAGCATCCATCTCTCAAGGAGAAGGGTATTTTGAGGAATTGGTTTTAAAAAGAGAAGTAAAACCGAAGATTTTTTTTTTTTGGCGGGGGGGGTTGGGGAGGGGGTTTGAGCTCAGGCAGGGACTCTTGCTCTACTTAAATCACTCTCCCAACCTGTTTTTGTTTCAGAAAAAATCTTAACATTTGCTTCAAGCTTCCCGAGTGCTGAGAGTGCTGCGGTTATGAGCCTGTGCTACTACACATGGCAGCAAAGTACTTTCTGAATGTGAGTGTGACCATTTTGGTCGTTCTGAACTCTTCAAAGGCCGGTGCTGGCCCTGAATTTCCTTGGCTCGGGCCAGTAGACTGCAGACAGAAAGCAGGGGGCTAAGGAGGAGCCAGAAAGGGCTGTAATATACTTCTGGTTGGACAGGAATTGCCAGCCTTGTTTACTGTAACACAGAAGTATTTGGACCTTCAAAGCCCTAGTTGTAAACTCTGTGCCCTTTCAGCAAAAAGCCTTCAGAGGAAGAGTGTGGGAATAGCATTTAGAACTGGAGTCACTTTTCACTTACATATTCATTATCCTGAACAAGTAGCAGTCACCTCATTTTATAGATGAGAAACTCAGGCTAAGGATTAAATCCATTTTCTAAATTAGAAGCTGAACTGGATCTGAATTGGGACCCATAAAACCCTTTTGTATTGGAAAACCCATGGCTTTCCTATCATTAAAGTACACAGCAGGCTGTCACTGGAAAGCTCAGGACCTGAGTCATAGGTCTAAGCCATGGGCCCAGACCTGACAGCAGATCAACCTGTCTTGGGTGGTAGTGGCTGACTCATCTCTGAACACAACTGAAGTGCTCCCCTTCCTCTTCTCAGCACCAAGAAGAATTACAAGCTTCGTACTGCCCCACCTCCATCTCCTCACCCTATCCTTGCCCCCCACAAAAGAGGAACTACCTGGAGATGTAGCTCAGGAGAGCAGTTGCCTGCTAGCATGCATAAGGTCACAGCACAGGAAAAGAAAAAAGAAGAAAAATAGCCACTTCTCAGTGTAACCCTGTGGAAAAGTTACTTGATTCCAAAAGAAACTAAGTTAGTCTTAATACAGAAAGAGGCCAGCCAGGTGGCCCCAGAAAGAACTAGGTGTCTTGACACCCAGTCCACACAGCAGGGAAAGGGGCTGAATGTGAGTCACAGTGCATTGATTTTATTTACAGATCAGAAGCCACTTAAATAATCTGTAGACACAAGTGCTGTCCAGGACAGAAGCCTAGGGTCCAAATCAGCCTTTAGCCCTCCTCATGCCCACAGTCAGCCCAATGCTGCCTCCATTCCATGGGCCAGCACAGGCATGTGCCACCTCTGCTGCCATGGGGACCTAGGGTAGCTCAGACATTTGACCACCCAAGCCCAGACAAGAGCTGGGTTCAGACCCTCTGGGAATTCCTTTAATTCCCCCAGGCCAGATGAGTGGTGCCTCAGTGATGACAACAGCTGTAGAAGTAAGGGTTTGCCTTCTGGCTCAGATCCACACCCTTGTCCTCTGTCAAAGAGAGAGGTGGCAGCTCAGGACCATTCTCGTGGTATCAGGTAAGTCACGAAGGGAGCGAAAAGGCCATGAGCTTATAGGAAGTCTCCATAAAGGCTTGGGGAAGTACACACCTGTCATCACCTGGAAAGCCGCCACACTGACGTAATCCTCTGCAACTTTCTGGAAGAGCTCATCTGGCAAGAAAAGAATCAGGGTGTGATGCCAGCAGTCCTGGGCTCTCCCAGTGACCCAACCTCCTGTCAGGCCCCAGGACAGCACTCACCCACACTCTGGCCTGTCTTGCTGGATGTTTCAAAGAGCTGAGCTTTGATATCTACAAAGAGAAGTGACTAAGACTTCATACCTGAGAGTCAGGTCAATATAGACAAAGGCAGAGGCTAGCAGTTCAGGGAGACCCCACAAATTCAAGGAGTCCACAAAGCCCTCCTAGTGCACCTTGCCGTGGCAACCAAGTCAGCCCCTGTTGCCTGTAATCCACCCAATCAGCCAGCCATCCCACCCTCCCAGGGGCTGAGGAAGAGCTACTGTCTGCATAGTCCTGGACGTCATGGAAGTCCACACGTCGACGCCGCCGGTCTTCCTCCAGCAGATCACTCTTGGTACCACACAGGTAGATTTGACAGCCCTGGGGTGGGGGGAAGACAAGGCTGGGGGTACCTCCTTAAAACAACACAGCCACAGTTCCTGGTCTTTCAGTAGGGTAGGACCACCTACCTCCTCTAGGCTACGCAGCTCCTTCACCCAGAACTTGGCTCTCTCAAAGCTGCTGCTGTCAGTGAGGTCTTGGTAGTGGACATGCAGGAGACACAACCAAGGATCGGGGAACGTTCTCTGAGGCTGGTCTGACAGCCCTTGTTTGAAAAACACACCCGAGCCCCCTCTCCCCTTACCATAGCAGACGATGGCAGCCTTGGCTCCCCGATAGTAGATTCTGCTCATGGCCTCATAGCGCTCAGAGCCTGCTGTGTCCTGAAGGGCAGGGGGAGGCTCAACCCTGCCCTGAGTTACTGGGCTACTTCCCAAGACTACAACCTAGGTCCACGTCCTCCAGACTCCCATTTTCCAAGTGAGGAAACGGGTCTGGAGGAATGAAACGTTCTCTATGAAGCCACCTAGTAAGAGGTGGGACGTAAAGCCTCAGGAACGGGTTTTCCCAAGATCATATTCCCAAAGGACTCACCCAAATACCCAAAGTCACTGTCCGGTCTCCGACGGACATCACTTTGGCCACGAAGGCAGCCCCGATGGTCTGCAACCAGGAGGAAGAGATCAGGCCGTGGGTGCAGGCTGCCCCCTCCCACCGTGCCGGGCCCGGATGCACTTACGTTCTGGTAGGGCCCCACCAAGAAGCGGTCGTGCACGTATCGTTCCACCAAGCTGGTCTTGCCCACGTACTCCTTGCCCAGCATCACCACCTTGACGTCCACGCGCTGCCCGCTCATGCTCCTGGGGCCGCCTCACCCACGTCCGGGTCCGCTCGGCCCAGGCAGCGCCAAAGCCCCAGACCCTGACCTCGAGCGCCTCGCACCCCGGCCGCGCCCCCGTCGGCCCAGCTCCTCCGTCCGCGGCGCCTGATGTCTGGTGAGGGCCGAGGGCCCGGGAGCGCGCGGGCAGCGCCCTCCCGCGCCGCACGCCGCGGCGTAGCTCGGGTCTCGGCTCTCGCTCGTTCGCCCGGCGGGCTTACGCTCCGCTCCGGTCCGGACTCCCAATCCAACCTGGGGTTTCCCCCGCCCTACCCAAACCTGCTTCAGCCCGCAGCGCCGGGGCTCCCGCGGAAGAGAGCCAGAGGGCGAGGGGGCGGGACCGGAAGTGGGGTGTTCTCGCGGCCGCACCGGAAGTGGCGCGCGGCAGTACGATCCCTCATGGCGGCAGCAGCGGCTCGGGCGCGGCGCCGTAGTGACTGAGCTGCGAGGCTGGCGGGCGTGCGCCGAGCCACGGCCCGGCCTCCGCGTGCCCCCCGGGCTCCGCACCCCTGATGCTTCGTGGGTGCTGAGCCCGTCCAAGCCGGGACGATGGTGAAGTACTTCCTGGGCCAGAGCGTGCTCCGAAGTTCCTGGGACCAAGTGTTCACTGCCTTCTGGCAGCGCTACCCGAATCCCTATAGGTACGTGGCTGCGGGAAGACCAAACCCCTCCCCACCTTGCGATTGGGAGATCGATGTGTGGGCAGTCCCTGAGTAATGGGACCCGGAGAGACTCGACATCGAGTCCGACGTGGGGAATACCCGGAACTGGGGCCGTCTTTAGGGCACGAAGATCTCATCGGAAAAGTGGTCAGCCAGGCCTGCAAGGTTCTGGAAGGAGGCTGAGCCTGGGTGATGATTTGCTTGGGCCCTATTCTAACGTTCTGCCTTCTCGGGGTGGTGAGACAGGACGAGGGAGGGATTGGGGTCGGAGATCCGGGTGTTTGCCTGCTCGCCTGCCCGTGGCGCTCTCTAGTGGAGCAGCAAAATCATGAAGCCCAGCCGGGCTGGAAGTCCCAGGAATCCAGGTCAGGGAGTAAGCGGGAGATGGAATTTGCCCTGGGATAGGTTCAAGGTACTCTTAGACCTGAACCACAGCGCAGATCACTCTGCAAGATACTGCAGGAAGTATGCCCTGGAGGCCCCAAAGGGGAACCCCAATAGGCTATCTTTGTCAACCGCAGGCTTCTGAGGCTCACCCTTATTCCGCACCTACAGCAAACATGTCTTGACTGAAGACATAGTACACCGGGAGGTCACACCTGACCAGAAGCTTCTGTCCCGGAGACTCCTGACCAAGACTAACAGGATGCCCCGCTGGGCGGAGCGACTGTTTCCTGCCAATGTTGCCCACTCGGTGTACATCCTGGAGGACTCTATCGTGGACCCACAGAACCAGACCATGACCACCTTCACCTGGAACATCAACCATGCTCGGCTGATGGTGAGGAGTCCTTTGGTCACCCCAAAAGTAGACTGCTCCTCGGGTATATGGCTAGGAGCTGTGAGGGAGCTTCTGTGGGCTGAGGCAGGTCTGGGTTACTGAGGAGCCATGACTGTAGTGCAGGATCTCAGATGATCTTTGCAGCTGAGCAGCCTCTGAGAAGGGATACCCATTTTACAGTGGTTGGAAGAGCTAACCACAAAGCACTCTTGTCGTGTATGTCACACATGCAGGTGAGGAAGGGAGGCAGTGGCTTTCAGCTGGGTGTTCATCGAGCCACAGGTGCCTTGGATGTGCCTCAGGGTGAAGTTCTGGGCCCTTGCTGCACTTTAGTTCCAAGAATTCCACATTCCTAATCGGATGTCTGCCTGACATTTGCAGGAGAGGTGTTACACATGTCCTTGATCTCCTGCCTTTTAAAAAGCTTGGAAACTTGTGGTTTAAGAAATATTCCACAGTATCTTATGTGAATCCCCTGCAAGGTTTCTGACAGTTTCCTTTCAGTTTATCTTGAGTAACCTTGAGAGGTGGGTAATACTCATGGATGAGGTTCAGAGGTGAACATGTCTACAAGGTCACAGAGTGAGTAAGCACCTTCCTCTGCCTGGTGCTATCTGAAGTCATGTCAGATGGCTGTGTGAGGGCACTACCTCTGCTTGGTAAATTATGAAGACTGTGATCTGTTTGTGAGAAGTGTCTTAAGTGGCTGTCCACTTTCTCCTCTGAGAATGAGAGCTGTGATGATTAGCGGACATACATTTTTATTTGGACTCAGAAAGCTCAATGGCAGACGTGGGTGAAAGGTGCCTGTCGAGACACAAAAGCCTAAAACAGAAAGCCCAGAGCAGGGTTGCATCAAAGCCTTCTGTTGATCCCAGAAAACCACCTCCTAGTTTTAAGGGTCAGCAGAGGTGTCAGAGAGGGCAAAGTGGCTTTTCTATGGCCTTTCTTAAATGCCACTTGTGGGTACAGTAACAAAAAGGAATGGGTTTTCCTTTCATGGCTTCATCTTGTGAAAAGAGACAAGGGACTAGGCAGGTACATTCCAGCTACTCAGGAGGCTGAGGTGGGAGGATGAATTGCGCACAGAAGTTTGGTGCTGGGCTGGACAACATACAAAGAGACAAGTTGAGTCTTCGTGCAAGTTGGCAAAACAAAAGACACCCCTGTGATGCTCCCTGCACAGATGGTGGAGGAACGATGTGTTTACTGTGTGAACTCTGACAACAGCGGCTGGACCGAAATCCGAAGGGAAGCCTGGGTCTCCTCTAGCCTATTTGGTGTCTCCAGAGCCGTCCAGGTGAGCAGTGTTGTGGCTGTTGGGCCCAAGACTTTGGAGCTTAAGGCCTGGCCTGGAGTGGGCCAGTGGGCAGCTCCCATTCCTTCACCTTCTCAATCTTTCTGCCAGGAATTTGGTCTCGCTCGGTTCAAAAGCAATGTGACCAAGACCATGAAGGGTTTCGAATACATCTTGGCCAAGCTGCAAGGTGAAAGCTCTGGGCACTGGAATCTCATCGGAGAGGCTGGGTCTTCCGTAGCTCACCCTGACCTGTGTGGACCCTGGGACTCACTGGGGGAGGGGGGGTAGGAGACAGGGAGGGGCCTTACCAGAGGGGCGTGGCCAGCCCATGTAAAATGACTCATCCAGGAGGGATTAGGTGAATCTTCTAGGCCTCACCTGAAGGTAGTGTCCCGCCCTTTACTGCAGGTGAGACCCCTTCCAAAACACTTGCTGAGACAGCCAAGGAGGCCAAGGAGAAGGCGAAGGAGACAGCACTGGCAGCTACTGAGAAGGCAAAGGACCTTGCCAATAAGGCCGCCACCAAGCAGCAGCAGCAGCAGCAGTTCGTATAGCTGGCCTGGGCCCCACCTCCGCCACAGCCCACCAGCCAGCGTGGCTCAGCCCCCTCCACCCTTTCCCATTGTACTTTATTATTAAAGGTCAACTTCCAGCCCTCTCTGCTGTCTGGGTGGTGGGTTGGGGCAGGTGTCCTGTTCTGCCTCTGTGGTACCAGGTGTGGTGTCTATGCCTGAGCACGATCTGTTTGTTCCCCCATTGGGCAGCTGATGACAGGCACAGGAAGTGCAGTAACTTGCCCAAGGTCACAGGCAGTTTGCAGGTGAAGTGTAATAAACAACAGACTGTAAGCTCCAGGAGGGCAGGGCTCCTTGTGTTCCCTGTGGTGTGTCCCAAGTACCTGGAACACTATCTAGCACATGACAGACACTCAATAAATACTTGCTGAAATCAGTTGGCCCCCAGCTCTGGAGTCAGAAAGCTTTGATTTGGATCTTCACTCCACTGTTTCCTGGCTTTGCAACTCAGGCAAGTCATCACTCAGTCTCAGCACCACCACCTGAGAGGGGCAGGCAGAAGCCTCCAGGTTGTGTGTGAGTACTGCCTGGCAGGCTCAGTGTGTTGGTGGCAGCTGGTGACTGCTCGTCTCATTTCCTCTTTAAACAGTGAGACTGGGACTTCCTCCCTTGTCATCAGAAAGACCATGGACAGGGAAGTTATGAAACAGGCTTTTAATGAAGAAAATACTGTACAGTATACATGGGGCAGGGGCCTCATCCAGGAAGGATATGAGGGTCCAACAGGCATCTTGTCCCTATGGGACAGTAGAGCCAAGTGCTACAGAGAACACCTGAGAGGGTGGGCCAGGCCCGAGCTGCACAGCAGGGCTCAGGGAGCACCTGTTCCCACAAAAGGGTCCATTTTAGTCCATTCCAACAGGTGGTTCAGCAGCTTTGGGAGGCCCGTGCTTGGCAGACTCAGCCCAGCATGAGCAGAGGGCACTGGAGGCAGCGAGCGTCAGAGCCAGGTGCCCACGCTGTGTGAGTAGCTGTGCTCCTGGCCGGCGCTGAAACCCCGCAGCAACTCAGCCTCACCCCCAAACACCAGGCTCTCCACGTCCACCTCCAGGTCCTCTGCGCAGGGCAGGATCCAGTCAGAAGCCCTGGCCACCCTCAGGGTCCCCAACCCCTCAGGTTCAAGGCACTCACCTTGGTCTGAGTCTGAACGCTCGGAGGAGAGGCCGGAGGAATCCAGGCTGTCTGCCCGCAGCCGCTCCCGCTCACCTGTGTCCTGTCCCCGGAGCCGCTCCAGCTGGTGCTGCAGGTTCTGCTGCCTGCTTCGCAGCTTCTCCTTGAGCCGCCGCGCCCGCTGCTCCTGTTCCTCCAGCTTCTGCAGACCCCAGAGGGCAAGGGAGGGGTCAGCTGCCAGAGACTGGCGCTTAGTACTGGGGGCTGGTAGAGTGGCTCAAGTGGTAGAGCCTAGCAAACTGAAGACCCTGAGTTCAATCCCCAGTACCACCAGAAAAAACAAAAACAAAAACTCAGCACTGGTCCATGGTCACCACAAAGATCAGGGCTTCAGGGTTGGCCCCACCTGTCCTTCCACACCCATCGATGATCTGACTAGGGGGGTAAGCCATGGGGGGATCCCCAATCTCTGATGCCCTCAGGCCCTAGCCAGCTGATACAGCAGAGTGGAATATAAATGGGGATGGGGTGGAGCTAGGGAGGGCTGTGGCATCCTGACAAGACTATACCAAGCTCAAGGAAGCGGCTATCTCCAGGTTCCAGCCAATTGCTGCCACATGGCCACAGGCCCAGCACTGCTCATCTCCCCATTTCTTTAAGAGAAACTAGAAAGCCAGATTTTTCATGTCAAGTGGTCTTTGAAGTGATGCCAACTAATTTGTTAGTAAATTAGATACAGTAAATTAAATACAGATTAAACAGGCTGCCCTCCTGGTCAGGACCCTCCCAGAACCCTACTGTTTCAACACTAAGCTCCCCCACGCCCTACCAGAGCTCTGCCAGTCCTAAAGTTCAGATTCTTGGAAAGTCAGGGGCTCTGCATGCACAACCCTCAGGCAGAAGCCTACATTCAGTCATTCAAGAAGGGCAGAGGGCACTTGGACAGGTGAAGAAGGAAGAGGAGAAGCTACCTAGACAAAAGTGGGAGGGGGTGGGTACCAAGGGGGGCTTCCTGGGAAGCATGGAGAATCCAGCCTTTTCTGTTGTGAATGGGGAGAAATGAGCCCAAATCAGGGCGGTGGCAAGGCCTAGGTTGGGGAAGGCCTTGAGTTTCACTGGAAGGAATTGAGGCTGTGATCTGTCAAGGGTTTTCAGCTGAGATGGGCCCGGGGCCAATCTGTGCAGCAAAGATCTTTCTAGAACAAAGTGGAAGTCAGCCTAGTGGAGGCCAAACAAGAAATGGGAGACCAAGGAGGAGGCTCTGATGTGTATTAGATCAAGAGGGATGATGGGGCTTCAAGGAAGGAGTGATCCCCAAGTCCTACCAGCACCTGAGGGGCAATGCTTTGACCTGAGAATTGGGCCAGGCAGGCTCCATGTGAGAAATAAGGCCCATTTGCTGACCCAGCATATTTCAGACACAGTGAGGGTGACAACAGGCACCTATGGGACAGTGTGAATACTTCCCATGGTCGTGATTTATTTGCTGGGTGGCACATGGATCTGTCTCTGTGACAATGCCTACAACAGAGCCTGGCAGTACAGGTGGTGCTCAATAGATGTGTGTAGAGGAAAGAATTTAGGTCAGGGAGCCTGGTCCCGAATCTGCCTCTCATCAGCTGGGCGACCTGGCTCTTAGTCCAGATACGCCTCCCTCCTTCCTGTCCAAATGGCTGAGGAGGACAGAAAAGAATTCTTATTTCTAAAGTGGATTCAAATGCCCACAAACTGGGGCCTCCTGGGCCTCTCTGTCTGCACACCCTCTCCTGTCCACCAGGGGGCAGCAGCAAGGCCCAGGAGGTCCAGTGACTGGCTCTTTTGCTCTTCTTAGTCCTTTACACCTCTTGATCTCTGCAGCTGCCACTCAGAGCCCAGAGCCCAGAACAGCCCTTGAAGGATGGGGACTGGGAAGTGAGGGCACCCAGCCCTCTAAAATCCAAGCGACCCTTACATACAACTCCTTGCAAAATGTTTTTAACAGCCATCCCCTCCCCAATAGAGGAGGAAAGGGAAGTCCAAGCAGGCTAAGTGACTTGCCCAGGGTCTCACAGCTGGGAATCTAAGTGACACTGGCTATGAAAACAATGACTGTTTCCAAGGTGAACTAGCTAAAGCCTCAGTGCCCTGCTACTGTCTGCTTTTCTTCCTTTTAATGGATTTGGAAACTGAAAGCACACAGAACTGTCCCAAGACACACGGATGGGCTGGGCCAGCTGCGGGGGAGCAGGAGTGGCCCCCTTACCTGGATGTGCATCCTGGCACGGCGCAGAAGGCTCAGCGTGGTGTATCGGGCACAGTCAGCCCCCAGGGGCATCTGCTGCTTTAGCTGCTCCAGGCATCGCTTCAGCTGGGCCCTCCTGTGGGGGAAGGGGTCTGGAGGGCAGTGCCAATCCCACCTCACCAGCCAGAGGGTTGGCAGGGGAGGAAAGGCCAGAGAGAGGTAGTTCCTGGGTCTGGTGCTGTCAGGGCCAGGCTGGGACTCACCTGCGTTTTTCCAGCTCATTGTGCACGGACCTGCCAAGGTCAGGGAGGATGAGGTGAGGGGCTGTCTGAATTTGACCCACACCCTCAGTCCCAGAAGTCCCTCAGATGTCTTCCTCCATCAAGCCCCCTGGGGGATCTTGTGAGGGCCTTGGAAACTACAGCCACCAGGTAGGGACAAGAAGAATCAGAGACACACACAAGCAGAACAAACAGAGTCAAATGTGGAGAAAGCCAAATACTGCAAGACACCTGCCCAGGCGTTGTGGGGGTCCAAAGGAAGTTCCCCTGCCAGCCAGGGAAGACAGGCTTCTCCGAGAGATGGCAGTTGAGCTGAGCACAAAATATGTTTCCCACAGAGAGCTGTGGAGGGAAAGGCATTCAAACTGGAGGGAAGAGCATATGCAAAAGGTTCAGGCACAGAGAAAAGCAAGAAGCCCATGGAGGAGGGGGAAGGTTTAGTGGATAGAGAGTGGATGGAGGGACCCAGAACTGTCTTGTTCACACTTCCTGGCGCGGCAAAGGCGCTCAGGAAGTAGTCCTTTAATGAACAGAAAGGTGTATATTTAGGAAGTGAGATGGTGGAAGGGGTCTCAATGTCCCCAAGAGCAGGGTACCTGGCCCAGAAGATGCAAACGATAAGGAGGACGTGAGCAGAGGAGGGGCCGATGAAGTAGAGCGCCCATCCCCCTCGACACCCCCCCTGCCCCCGGCTCTCCTCACCGCCCGCTGTCCAGCGCGCCGGGAACATGCAGGGGTCGCTTCCTCCTCCTATGGATGGGGCCAGGACTGCGGTGTGGGCACAGGGACGCATAACCATGCTCTGCCTCTACCAGAGAACCCCCGCCCGCGTCAGGCTGGGGCCGGAGCCAGTGCCCAATGCCAGCGGGGACCCCTGGCATGGTCAGGAAGGGTTTTTGGCTCCAGGACTATTACCCGAACTCCTCCCTGCCCAACTGCCCGCGCACTCCGCTTGGGTTGAGGGCGGCGGCGCCCTGCAACTACTGCCCTGGAGCCATGCATCGTTCAAGTTGAGGGCCAAGTCCAGTCCAGGCCGGTGTCAGCGACGCCACCGCCCGGAGTCCGACCCAGGGTTATTCACCTCTCTCGCGGCGCTCCAGGAACTCGGCCGCCTGCAGTAGAACTTGGATGTTGCTGGCCAGCGGGTCCATGTCTGCGACAGCTGGTGGCGGGCGGGCCTGGGTTGCTGGCCTGCGGCTGCACCACTTTTGTTACAATGTAACTGACACGGTGCAACAAACACAGGGGTCTGGCCCCGCCCCCGTTGTGCCCCGCCCGCGGACCGCCCCGCCCTTGGCTCCGCCCCCTGGAAAACACGCCTGGGAACCGCAGCCCACCCTCCGCGAGCCCGCCCGCTCCCTGAATGGCCTCCGACTCCAGCGGGACTGCACGGGCGCCGGCTCCAGGCCCGGCCCGGGGGTGGCTCCCCCCCTTCGAGGAGGTCGTGTTTTGCCCGTTTCACTCAGCGACCCCGCCGGTTCCTTGGCGTCTTGGGGCCTCCGTTCCCAGCCTCATACAGGTGGGGAGCGCCCCGCACCAAGGACGGCGTTACAGTGGCCAGGCGGTCCTGGCGCTGCACGTGCGCGCCGCGGGGGCGGGGCAGCTGGATGCCGCTCACCCATTCGCTGTCGTCATCTTTGGGGCGGGGCCGAGGAGCCTCTGAGGTTGGATTGGCTGGCGCGCGACCCCGCCCTCTCCCGCTGCTGGTCCACCCGTTCGGGCGGGAAAAGAAGCAGGTTTCAAATTTGAAAACCCGGGCGATGGGGGCGGGGTTGAGCGGAGAAGCGGACCGCAATGCGCAGGCGCCGACGGAGGGGGCGCGTACCCTGCTCCAGTGCCCGGGGGTCGGTCCTTACGCTTGCCTGCATCTTCCCCCACTGCAGGCCCCGCTGTGCCTCCTGGTTCTCCCTCCTCCTTGTGCAGGGGAGTTGCTGTTACCTTGAAAACGTCATAGGATAACAGCTTCCCAAGCCAGGCCACACCTGGAAGCACACCATCTGGCTCTGCAGAGAGCCCCGGGTTCTGAAGTCACGGAGTTGGGCTCCCCTTCTGTCACTGCTGACTCAGCCGTGTGTGAGTTGGGGGTCCTGCGACAGCGTGGTGGAAGGGTCAGAGCCAGCGTCTATTCAGTGCCCGATATGAAGCAACGGTCTCTAAGGCCCTGTAACCGCTTCCTCCCAGACAGCCTGTGGTTGCCTCTCTCCGGAGTCCCTGAGCCCTCCTTGAACGTGACTTTCATAGCCAGAGAAGTAGCTGCCTTCCCTCCTGGCGCAGCCCCAGCAAGTGTAGCCACACCTATGGCTCAGGAAGGTGACAGCAACTGTAACAGGGTGGGGCATTCCTGCCAGAACTTGGGAGGAGAGCGCCGGAAGGAGAGGAAGGAGGGTGGGTTCCTTAGGAAGAGACTGCTCTGGATGAACATGCACCTGTCAGCCGGGCCACCGCTCCCAGGAGGGTCTAAGTCACTGCCAGAGGAGTCTTCAGCTCACCCCAGAGCTGCTGCCTGGGCCATCCACTACTGCCCACCTGTCCAGGCACTCAGAAAATCTTGTTGAGCAATTACTGCACACTAGGCACTGCGGGGGGGTGGCAGGACTGCGGCATACAAGGATGGACAAAAACAGGGAATGCAGGGATCCATTGCAGAGCTCACAGGCTTGAGGGGGAGAGAGCTGATTTAGAGCCAAAGTAGAGTTTCAGCTCTGGCAGGTCCTCCCAAGGAAGACACTGCTGAGGGCACATCCTAAGGAACATTTTGACTTAATTAGGAAGGTGAGAGGTTTTTCTGAAGATAGATGTTATCTATGTACAAGAGGGAGGAAGAGAGTTCCAGACGAAGGAACTGCAAAGGCCAGGTACACAGAGAGCAAAGATACTACAGCTCTAGCACCCTGAATGCCAATCTCGGCTGAAGCAGGGTGCAGCCTGGTTAGTATTTAGATGGAAGCGAGGGCAAAGACATCATGTACATGACACTGGAGCACTGTCTGGGCACAGAGCAGGTGGATGGGTTCCTCATACCCCCATCTGCCATCAGCTTTGTCTGAAGAAGCAGTCACAAGGCTTGTGAACCAGTTTCCAATTTTACTTCACTAAAGATAGCACCCACACAGTGCAGGCACAGACCTTCTAACCAAACATCTGGGACCCAGGTGGCCTCAGGGACAAGGAGGTTTTCCAAGGAAAGTCCCCAACCAAGAGAAGGAATCAGATGAGGAAGGTGAGGCAGGGGCTGCCCAGGGGGCTGTGACCACACCAGGGAGTCATGGGAATGATCTGCCCATGGGTCAGAGCCACTGGCTAGGGACAGACAGGAGCACCTCCCAGAGAAAGGGGCAGGTGTGGGGTGGGATTTAGAGCAACAGGACCGACAGCATTACCACCCTGAGCACTCGGAGGTCCTCTCTGAGAGGATGCTGGTGTGCGTGCCTTCTGGGCCCAGGCTGACAAGAGCTACAGTGCTGCCTGCTCAGCCTTAGAGCCCCTGTACCTCAGGGGCTCCCCAGTGCAACCCCTGCCCTAGGACTCCCCCAACCTTGGCCCCACTGCTGTTCACAGTAGCTGGTGGGCTGCAGGCACCTCAGTGAAGCTTGTTGGAGACTAGCATCCTCTGGAGACTTAGGGACACAGCCTGCATCTGTGCACCACTCTCCCTTGTTCCTCTCACACTCACCATCCTCTCCCAGTCTACAGACAGGATGCAGGAAGCGCTCCTACTGTCCCTCAGAAATTCCCACCTTCTCTCCTACTGATTAGAGTACTGGAGGGCCCAGCTGAGACCCTAGACCCCTGCCCAGCTTCTCCCTGGGCTCCCTGCCTTAGTCTCCCCCATGTCACTCATCCTCCCCCAGTCCCACAGAGTGGCATTTCTTTTTCATGGAGCTCCCCAAGTGATGCTCTCAGGACAAAGCTGAAACTGGGCTGTGCCCCTCCTCTGCCAGGTCAGGGGACAGGCTATGCCCTTGCCATTCCCTGCCTCTGCCAGCTGGTCTCAAATGTCTCTTCCTCTAGGAAGTCCCAGCTTCCACCTGGTGTACCTTTCAAAACACCAGTCATCCCGTGTCCCTCAGGGACAGCCTATCCAGCTGGACTATGACCCAGCGATAGAGGTAAGCTGTACCGAGAAAGGTTGTGGGCTGGGGAGGAAAGTGTCTTGGTGGGCCAGGGTCTCCATGTCCATAGTACGCTGATGGAATAGCAGTCAGCAGACTCCAGTTTAGAGGCCACCACCAGAATGTCACCCCTGGGTTTTCAGGCAGCCCAGCACAAAGCAGACTTTCCTAGTTCTCACATTCACAATTACAGCATTCTTCCTTCCTTCCCATTGTGGGGGTTTCACCTGCCTTCATTTCCCTTCAGCCTGAGGCCCTACCCTCAGCACCTTTTTTTTTTGGTGGGTGGGATTGGGGTTTGAACTCAGGGTTTCACACTTGCAAAGCAGGCACTCTACTACTGAGCCACAGTCCATTCAGCTCTGGTTATTTTGGAGATGGGGTCTCATGAATTTTTCACCCAGGCTGGCCTCAATCTATGATCCTCCCAATCTCAGCCTCCCAAGTAGTTAGGATCACAGGTGTAAGCCACCAGTACCCAGCTATCATTAAACTTTGACTATTGGCTATGTATGATATACCTGGTTTTCTTTGTGTTTGTCTTGATTTCGGGTGTTTTGAGCTTCTGGGAAAAAGTTTTTTTGAGACAAGGTCCCACTATCTACCCCAGTCTCCCATTGAACTCACCATCCTCTACCTCTGCCTCCTGAGTGTTGGGATCACAGGTGCGTGCCACTACATCAGGCTCTCTGCAAAATTTTCAAGTTCTTATTTTTCCATCCCTACTCTCTTCCTTCTCTCCTATTCTGACCCTAATTTAATGTATGTGACCCCACTCAGTAATATCTCAAGAGTAATTGATGTCAATTTTTTCAGGGTTTTCAAGACTTAAAAAACTTTCTTTGCCAGTTTGGATAATTTCTATTTATCTGTCTTCAAAGCTCAATTATTCATTCTTCTGTAATGTCTAATTTGGCATTCAGACTGTCCATCATACTTTTTTGTGTGGTACTGTGGTTTGAACTCAGGACCTTTACCTTGAGCCACTCCTCCAACCCTATTTTGTGAAGGGTTTTTTTCAAGATAGGGTCTCATGAACTATTTCCCCAGGCTGGCTTCAAACTGCAATCCCCCTCCTGATCTCTGCCTCCTGAGTATCTAGGATTACAGGCGTGAGCTCCATCGTACTTTTTATTTCAGCTGTTGCACTGTTCATTTTCAAAAGTTTTCTATCCCTGCCCTGAAATTCTCCATTATATTATATATTGGTTTCCCATGGCTTCCGTTTAATAAAATAAATGTCTTAAAACAGCAGAAACTTATTCTCACAGAATTTCTGTTGTCATCTCCCTGGGCAGTCAGAACACACTCCCCAGTATCAGTGTGTGACAGTACACACTGCCATGGTTGTGATGTGGTTTGTCTCACAAGGGTTCCTATATGGAAAGTGTGGTCACCAAGTGTGGCACTGTGAGAGATGGTGAGACTTTTAAGAGGTGGGGCCCAGTGGGAGGAGTTTAGGTCATTGAGAGAGCTGCCCTTAGAAGGGATTAAGTTAGTTCTCATGGGACTCTGTTATGTTCCGTAAGAGTGAGTTGTTATAAAAAAGCAAACACAATCCCTGGATCTTGCTCTGGCTTCCTGTCTCACCACGTGATCTCCTACCTCATGTGCACTGCCGTGAAAGGTGTTTAAAAGCTGCTTTTGCTAAAGAGTGCTGACTCCTTACCTGGGCTCATGAATTAACTAAAAGCAAGGAGTAAAGCTTGGCATCCCTGCCTCCATTTGTACCTGGTGTACTTTGCTCTGAGCCATTCTCTTCTTCAGCCACCTTGGAATCAAAGGGCAAACTTATCCATAGCGTGTTTATATAAGGAAGGACAGAGGAAACTGTAATCAGGGAAAGAAACAGCAGAGACCTGCAGGATGGACACCCCAGGCAACAATGACTTGTTTATCCTGACCAGTGATGACCTTGTTAACATCTCCTGAACCCCTCCCAAAACAAGGACTGAGATAATAATCCACAGGACACGCCTGAAACCAGGACTGTTTAATACTTGTGCATAGGGGCTGGAGATGTGCATCCAAGTGGTAGA